CTCTTAATACAAAGTTGACATTATTCAAAATGTCTTTGTTATGACAACTTGCCATTAACCAAGAAATTATGATATGACATAAATTTGTTATAAAAGTATTTCTGATGAAACTTTAAAATTATGTAGCTTTTATTACTATACCATCTGTAAAAAAAAAAAAAAAAAAAAAAAAAAAAAGACAATGACAATACTTGCATGCCGATCAAATTTCAGCTGAGAATTGAGAAATGGGATGTCCTGGGCCCAGTCAAAACCCAAATGTCGAAGAAGTGGAGCCACCTGAAACAAGAAACCCCTCAAACGTGGCACAGATGACATCGATCTCAAACCAATCTGAGTGACCCGTGGTACCACTAGCCATTGTCGGGTGCTCTAACTTTCTCCTTACCAAGAAATCAATCTTTTGTTGATGAAAACAATGATGCTTGATAAAAACAATGATGATTTTGATTATTTGATTTTCATCACCTGTAGTTAAATGCTGCTTGATGTATTTGTATTTGTTTTGTTCTTGAAATTGTGTAAATAGAGTCCAAATCAGCCCTTCAGCCTCTCACATGAGAGATTCATTACTTGAGGAGTTAATAATTTGTTCGAAAATACACCTCTGGTTAATAATGTATGTGGATGTGTGTTTACATGTGTGTGTGTATATGTGTGTGTATGAAAAAGAGATGATCATCTTGCTGATGTCCAGGTCTCTCGCTAAGAAAACCAGTGTATGTGTGACTCTGTGTAATCTCACCTACACAAACACACCCTAATCCGCAAGATCCTTTAAAATAACACTCAAATCCAGACCCAACAACCTTAGCAAAAGTAAATATAAAAAAGTTCAGAATGAATAATGTGAAATCAAACAGCCTTGACTTCGTGTCACATGGAGAATGGAGTACAAATTGTCTTTGTTTAAAGAAAAAAGAGGAATGACACCATATGCATTATTAAACAGAGATCCATGCAAAGCTGTCGATAGTTTCATACACAGCTGGATTGAGATCTAGACTTTAAATAGGCCATGCTCACTAACAAATGTTAGTTAAATAAATTTTAAGTACTTGTTTAAGGATTGGGTGTCGACGCAATTGTATTCTGGAAGTATATTTTGCTGTAACTTATGTCCAAAGTTTTGATAAAAAGAATTGCTAATTGTATTTATGGCAAGACGCTAGACAAAATTATACTTACTCTTTTATTGTAATTTGTTGATAGACCATTGTATTGTGATACAGAAAGGAAAAGTCAGCGCTACATAGTTCAAAGACAATAAAACCAAAAACAGTAATGGGAACATGGGACAATCTCTTTAAAGAAAACTGTATACATACTCTTTCACTCTCCCAAATTCTTGTCCTTCCATTGTGGGAGAGGTAACATTGTAATGTGCTCTGGCTGTTTTCACTATATACTTGGAAGTTGATAGTTCATGAGATGCACATTTGAGCTATTTCAGAATACTGATTGATCACTGGTTGATCTAATGCTTGACACGTCACTAGAGAATCTCAAAATTCACTGTTTTCAAACAAATTAAGAAAAAAAACATACGTTTTTCAAGTTTTTCTTGATTACATTAACGCAGTTGTCAAATCAAGCTTCACATTTTCAAAATAATTAACCTACAAGCCTAATCAGCAGAACTCATGGTCCAACTGACACACTTTATTTGCAAAAGGCACTAACTATGTCAAAGCATTTACAATAAAAAGCAAAAACAAATATTGCCCTAAAAAGCACAACTTGCAACCGTGTTCGAACTCTAACAATCATTACAGGATGGACAACAAAATACAGCATAGAGCTACAACCAAACAAATTGAGAAATATCTATATATTATTGCTATTAAAAGTGAGCTTTCATTTAATCTGTCACCAAATGTGTGCTGCTCAGAATGAGAGACTGCAAGGTTAAGGGTTGGGTGAAGCAAACTGTCCACTGTTCAGGAGGAGGAATGGGTTCTTAGCCAATGGTTTGATGTAATTGCTCAAGTTCTTGTTAATGACAACTTTTTTTTAATCAACTAACATAATAAACTGAATCTGAATGCATTGGTTTATGACCACAACTGGAATGTATGAAACTGACATTAAATCTTTCTCATTGGATTGACTATATTATTCTGTTTGCCTTGTAAAATGCCTCCTGATAACATTATTTGTGAGTGGATGTTATATAAACAAACTAACAATTTGAACTATTTGAACAATATGAACTGATTTCATTTTGACTGCTTGGTTCATTGTGCGATTCAATATTTTGCTCGCGACGACAAATAATTGTGTGTGAACTTTCAGACGTATTCTAAACCTGCAATCAGTCAAACTTGAAAGAGTATTTTGAGCGACAAAGCTGGAAGACTGAGCATAACTCGTCAGGTAAATGCAGACATCTGAGCTGTGTTTGAATTGATTTTCACTCTTTTGTCACATGATCTGCTGTAACAAGACAAACAGGTGACATCAGCAGGAACAGACGTAAAGATGAAAGGCCTTTAGCTGAAAGAACTCAGATTTTCTGCTTACTTTGCAAAGGAAAATGCCAGTGAGGAACACCTCAAATACAACGGAGCGACGTCTGTGTGAATGTGTGTGTGTTTCACTGGCCCCATATCGTTTCTCTTCCTGGGTTTTCCTGCTTCTCCATTTGAAGTGTTCTTCCTGGAGCCAGGAGTCTACAGGCCTCTTTCTCCTTGAGAGTGTGTGTGTGTGTGTGTGTGTGTTTGTGAGCGTCTGTGTGTAAGGAAGAAGGGCCAAAGTAAGTCACCGACCCCGAGTGATTGAGTCTTTGCCCCAGCCAGGACGGGGACAGTTTTCCTGGTGCCTGGCTCAAACACACACATACAAACCTACACACACACGGACACACACCTTCTTCACAGCAACAGTGTGCCGCACATACCAGCATCACTATCTAGTCCCTCACCCGACACCTCCTCATTCATACGTACTGACAGCAAACACACACCGAGCACCGAATCATTGTTTGAAACACACACATGAACACGCACACATTTCAAATAAGCTCTGGCCTCTGTTACTGTCAGCACTGCAGTCTGGCATGTGCAGCGGCACACAAACCAAAAAACACATTTCGCAGTATAACAACAGGGGAGAGAGGATGCTTGATTTCAGACTGTTTTTGTGAACCTTTCACCCTGCACTCCAGCAGTCCGGACAGTAACAGTCCACCCAGCTCAGATAAAAAAAAAAAAAAAAAGAAGAAGAAAAAACTACAGAAACCTTCAGCTCTCCCTCGAAAGTGAGCAAATCTCTGTGCATTGACTGGATTGGGGCCATAAAATCACGGGTAACCCGTGACTTTGATGCCACTTTGTGCCGTCTAAGGCCACACGGAGCCACACCTCGATATTATTAGTCAGCAATTGGTGCTTGTGTTATCAGCCTGCAGTTACACATTGATGGCAGTTCCCCATTTCCATGGAGGCAATATTGCCCTGTTCGCCTTTTGCTCCTACAGGAAAGGGTGCATTGATTGAATCAACACTGAAATACACATGGACTGATAGTCATAGTGTAGATAGATAGATAGATAGATAGATAGATAGATAGATAGATAGATAGATAGATAGATAGATAGATAGATAGATAGATAGATAGATAGATATAGATAGATAGATAGATAGATAGATAGATAGATATAGATAGATAGATAGATAGATAGATAGATAGATAGATAGATAGATAGATAGATAGATAGATAGATAGATAGATAGATAGATAGATAGATAGATAGATAGATAGATAGATACAACTTTATTCAAAGCAACTTTGTTCATTATAAAATGTGAATAATTACACTGTAATGAAAGCAGGACTTTTACTTTTACTGCAATGCTTTTAGACGCTGTAAACAATCTTAAGTGTCCTTCATGTTTTCTGGCGCTATCCCATCCAGTCCGACACACTGTAAGAGAACCACCATGCGGGACTCTGCGGGCCTCCGTAGCGGGTCCATAACTCATATATGAGGCTGTCAGCGGGAAGTGGCCGCACAATGAAATGGCCCCGTGTGTTTACGTTTTCTGGTGTCGATGACAGATATAAATCTGTCCTCATAAGGGCCGCAGCCGCCGCCGGACACTTCCGACTACAACAGCGCCATTCTTCACAGTGACACGCAGAGAGAGAGTCATGCGTGGCCTCCCTCAAAATCTGTCACTTCCAAGCAAAATCAGAGATTCAAATCGACTGGATTACTGATAATGTCTGTTTTTTTTTTTTTTTTTTTTTTTTTGCTAAATGTAAAACACTAATATAACAGTCATTGACTTTGAATGAATCATAATTTTGAAGACGTGCGATGACGGAATTACTCCCATATTTATGACAACGTGATGCAAATGTCAACGTGCCACGTTACTCACCTGAACAGCCTGCAGGCCAAGACGTGTCCATTTTCTGGACAAAAAGATGAGCTCAGTGTCAAATTGGACTGGAACGAACGACCGAAAGATTTAGATATAAACCCTTCATATTATGTTGTATTATCTATTTATACAGCAAACACAAAAGTCTGCCGATCTGAGTGCTGATAAAAAAATAAAAAATAAAAAAAAAACATCCGGGCAAAATTGCTGAAACTCCAAACTTTACTGATATTTCGGCGACAAATAAGATTAAAATATGTTGGTCAGAGGTTAAAATCGAAAACATTTGTGGTTTAAATGAATGTTCATCTTTTTCTAATCCTTAAAAAATGTATTCCATTACTTTAGCACAAAATATTTCAAGCTTTTTTTAAAATTACAAATATGCAAAAATACTAATCAGAGAACGACTAATTAAATAAGTAAATAAATAAATAGAGGGAAATCATTTCCGCGTAATAATAAGGGGGAAAAAGTGCCATGAATTTGCATAATTTGGCTTAAAGTGTGTGTTTGAGTGAGAAAGAGAGAGAGACAGAAACAGAGAGAGACGGAGCAGATAACAGCTGGATCTTGATTCAGTTGGATAGTGTCGTCCTCCACCTCCTCCTCTCTCATGCAGCCTATCGTCTTCCTGCCTTCAGAGCGATTTTAATTTTCTCAGTAAAGTGGTCGCTTCGCTGGACTGCAGCAGATCAGATCTGAACCAGGACAGGGGCGTCAATAAGCCAGATAGCGCGCATCGCGGCGAGAAGCAGGCTTCTCCAGATTCACCTCCACGGATGACCAGCTCCTGGGAATATGTACCAGGGCATTATGACTACCAACCACGGATCCTCTTCCTATGAGGCCGGCTTTCTCCACAACGCCTCGGCGGCCACCTCTCCGGTTTACGTGCCCACCACGCGGGTCGTCACCCCGATGATCCCCGCGCTGCAGTACCTCCAGACGCCCGGCGCCTCGCAGCAGGGCAGCCCGGTTTCGAGCCACTCCGTCTGGGCTCAGCCGGGTGCAGACCCGGTGCCCTCCTACAACCACTCCCCGGTGTCTCCGCGCTTCTCCTTCTCCACCAGTCCGCCGCTGTCGTCCGGTGTGGCCACAGCCAGGGAGGCGGTGTCTTACACCAGCCCGCTGAACATCTCTGCCAACGGAAGGGAGCATTATGGTCCGCGGGGCCTCGGCGGCTCGTATCCCAGTCCCTATTCGGCCTACATGAGCCCGAACGTCGGAGGAACGTGGCCGGCGTCCCCCTTCGACAATCCGGTGCTGCACGGTCTGCAGACCGGCGCGTCTCCTGGCACGACGAGACACCCAAACATAGGTGAGCGCCAGAAAAAACAATATATTTAAATAATAACAAATTGTACGGACATATTTTGAATCTTGATGTTATTTTTTATGGCGTTTTTAATGTGAAGAAAAATAAATAAATAAATAAATAAATAAATAAATAAATAAATAAATCAACAAACAAGCAACTTCCCCTCCCCCCTCTCCTCCCAAAAATATTAAGAAATTAAAATATATTTTGTACATTTGTGTCTCACAGGAAATACTATCAATAATAATAATAAAAAACAAGATATAACTTATGGTTAAAAATGATTTTAAATCTATGTGTTTCGTTAAAAGTTTTTTTTATTCCCACATATAAATATGAACATTTCGTAGAAATTAGTTAAAGAACAATATTTTAAAATAAAACAAAGCAGAAAAAAACATTTAGAGATTAAAATGTGTTTTGATAGTTGACTTTTATGCAGAAATATTATTTCCATAAAGAAAACGCTGAAATATGCCGTTCAATTATTGCTATGAAAAAAAAATGGCTGACTGATTAATACAAAATGTAATAAAACAAATGATGGTCACTGTAATTGATAACAATAATGAAAAAAGGAGTTGGGGGGGAAAAATCAGTTAAGCAAAGAAACGTGCATTTTAAACGGGGACAAAATAAAAGCGATGCGGAGATTGTGCGGCACAATGGACATTTTTATGCGTGATTTAAATATATTTGTGGTGCAGATAATTTTTTTTCTTTTTTCACGCATTAAAAATACTGGACATGATATTGGCAAAAATAGCTCTGAATATTAAACTGTCATTTGCAGAGCAAAGGCGTGAATATTAATAGATAGAATTGTCTGAATCTTTTTAAACGAGGCTTGTGGAGTTTAGAGTCTGTGGATTTTTTTTTGATGTGGCGTTTCAGATCGCTTCAGGTCGATCAGAGAGCGAAGAGAACAGACATGAAAATGCAACTAATAATTTTATTTAAACCTGCATTTTAAACTTGGAGAATGTTCAAAATAAAAACATTTTGTTTCGTATATTTTGCGCTGGGTGGGATTGTTGAGTCTGAGATTTCAAGACTGTTCAATTGGTGTAAACAGCTTTTAATACCTAATCTTCTTTACACTTCGTTTTTGTTTTTTTCCCCACCGTTGTGTTATAATAAGGGGGCAAATTATTCCCATGTATTCGTTTAGCTGCTGTTTTTTTTGCTTCTGTTCCAGTGTTGAATAACTCAAAACTGCATTGAGTGACGCTTTAAAGCATTTGCTAATATTCTAATCCACCTCATTCCTTTCTGGATTGTATTTGCTCTATACTGTCTGTTAGTGTTTAAGCAAGTGACCTGGGATTATTTAAGGTTCCATCTACAAGGCCCCCCAAAACCCCCCATGAGCTTAAAGAGAAAAAGCTCAGCTGTGTTACAGTGTGGGAGATAACTACATTGATCCACTCTGGTCGGTTCATCTCAATGCACACACACTCGTTAATAAAATAAAATAAAATAAATAAAATGACTATCTTTTTTTTATTTGCAGCTTTTGCACACAGTCACAACAAATGACATCAAGTCTCAGTCTGATTGAGAAGCATTCAGTGGGGAAGTTTCTGAACGCTTCCTATTGTTGTTCAGGGGAGAAAAAGGAGGAAAAAAAAGTCTTATCTGATGAGGAAACATGAAAGTAAATGAATTCAGTGACCTTTGCATGAGACAGTATATGTTTGTTGTTTCTTTGATCCTTGAAATATTGAAATTAAGTATATAATTTGATGTAAAAGAAACAAAACAAGATAAATCAATTAATCCGTCAATGAACTTTATTTATAAAGCTCCTTTCATACTAAAAGCAGTGAATAATTATTTCTAAAGAGAATTTTTACATGTTTTAATTAGAAATTGCTTCCAATGTGTTTTTGTTTCAGAAACACATAACAGAGACATTATTATTATTATATAAATATATACAAAAAACAACATTTAATATCAAAGTTTAGTCATCCTCAAATAAGATTTAGTCGAGAGTGTAAAAAGATACAATGTAGTTATAATATATGCTCTATATTATTCCTAAAATATATCTAAAAAGAAAGGTGGTGTTGTTATTCATTGTTTCTTTTTATTTCATCCAAGATAAAATGAAAATCAAACAAAGCAACTCCTTTACATAATAAATAAATTATAATAAGAAATCTTCATATATTGACTATGTCCAATTATATACATTTATTTGAAAGTATAAATGTACTTTATACATTAATAGAGAGACTAACAACATCTTCCTATTATGTATTAATGGCAATATAACTTTATTATTACTATTCTTCTTCTTTTGCTTCTTCTTCTTATTAGTATTATTATTGTTGAGTTAATGAGTCAACAGTGTTAGAAACATTTACTATGCATAACACCTAAAAACTTGGATTGAATTATTGAAAAGTAGAGTATGTTTCACTTTATTTTTCAATTGCTGAAGCACAAGATAAGAAATTATTAAAATCGCCCATTCTGGTTGTTAGAGTTATTTTATCCTTTCTTGAAAAAAAAAAAAAATCATATCACTTTAAAAAATTGTAAAACAATGTTTTAAAATTGAAAGAGAAACTTCTTAGAACTAATTTAATTCTCCTTAATGCAAAATTCAACATAAACAAGTTGATTTTGTTGTTTAAATATTAACCACAAAAGGTAAAAAAAAAATTGTCTGCATATACCAAGTCAAAATATTTGAGGTCTTTTTTGTATCTCTAAAATATGCATCCAATCATCCAATTTATAATTAGCGTCGTTCATTTCCAGTCTCAGATTCATCAAAATTAGACTTTCAAAACTTTTTATGCAACTCACACTCAGTAATTTGTCTGCATGGCAGTAACTTCTACTCTGTAACACTCTGTGTAGCTGTTTATTTCCACTTTCACCTTTGGCCTCCTGAAGTGTTTGTGTGGATGTTTTTAAGCTGAGACCTGATAAAGACGCTCTCTGACACGTACGCTATCAAATACAAAAAGGCATCCATTCAGATAGAGGATTTCTGCTGTGCATTGTTCTGTTTTCGCAATGTTGTGTTGGCTACATGTGCTGCCTATAGCCCAAGGTTAACTCGCCCTGCCGGCTATGCTTTGGCTCTCAGCCTTGAGGAGGCCCCTCGTACAAGCTCTGCTGCACAGCCAGAGGAGGGAGGGATAGACACAGGCCTGATTTATGCTATCTGAAGGAGGGCCAATAATGCACCTTGAAGTGTGCAGTTAAGAAGTCTTCATGTAGTGGTTTAAATGTGGTTTAAAATTCACGGTCTTCCTAATTTCTGCAACACATCAAAGTGTTCTTGCTGGTGGTATGAAGGTGGTGCGAGGAGAGAATTTCCAAACTGTCTCCTCCACTCTGCAAATTGATGTCTCCTTTTTCTAAATGGATAAGTGGTTCCTGGGAGACACTCTGTTATTTGGCAAATGAGAGGGTGGAGATTACATTTATCAGATGTTTGGCTATCTGAGAGGCCCGGGGAGAAGGCGATGTGATGGACGTTTGAATTTGATGGAGCTCTATATACCATCTCTATTTCCAGCCAGGTTTTTATCTTAAAGCGAGCAGTGATAAGGAGGGATTCCATTCAGGCTGCTGCTATGTGGTGGGGGGGGGGTAGAGATGCCTCCTATTGGTTTATGTATGCCACTGCGATACCCCCGACGCCCCCCAAAAAACGACCTTTCCTACTCACATTATCTTTTTAACATGCCTTCAGATTTGTTTGATGACTTTGCTGAGGGACGAGAATGTGTGAACTGTGGTGCAATGTCAACTCCCCTCTGGAGGCGCGATGGCACCGGCCACTACCTGTGCAACGCGTGCGGCCTGTACCACAAGATGAATGGCATTAACAGGCCGCTCATTAAGCCCCAAAGACGGCTGGTGGGTGACCACACAATAAATGTTCTTCACCTTCATCTTCTCGCTCATTCTCCCTCAGTATCTTTGTTTGATGAGTGACGCGTTTTGCCTGTTGCAGTCTGCCTCGAGGAGGGTGGGCCTGTCCTGCACAAACTGTCATACCACCACCACCACCCTGTGGCGACGAAACGCAGAGGGAGAACCCGTCTGCAACGCCTGTGGGCTCTACATGAAACTCCACGGGGTAAGAGGAGCACATTGATAATAATAATGGGGGGAAAAAACAAAAAAAAACATAATTGCCATGCTTTTTCATCTTTTGTCACTTTACAACCTAAACTGAAAGGTATTTGTCTGGATTTTATAGGACAGACTAATAGAAAGCAGTGCATAATTTTGAAGGGGATGGGAAATGCTTTTCAAACTGTTTCATCCACAATGCTTTTAAAAGTCTGGTTTGTTTTCAACCCTGTTTACGCTCTTTATTCTACCGCAGACAACTATATCTACAAGCCAACTGACTATTAAGTAGAAAAACAAACATACGGAAGAAGAGTCCTTATCAGTTTTTTTAGCCTTAAGGTAAAACACTGTGAGTGATGGCGAACTAATGCTGCCCATTACCCTGATAATGACCATTCCCATGGTGAAACACAGTGGGGTCAGATCATGCTCTGGGGACACTTGTCCTTAGTTTTTTTTGAGCTTGAACTTCTTTTCAATAAACAAATAGCAAATATTTTACTGTTTTGATTTGAAATGGTGGAACGCTGACATACCCATCAAAACTTGATGTTATCTACACATATTTGTTTCCGCAATGAACGATGGTTCTTTACTCAAGAGGGTTGACTTTGTGTTTCTTAGTCACATAAAATCTCTTCAAAATAACTGACGTTTGTGAAGTAAAGTGACAAAATGTTGGTTCAATGGGTAAGAATATTATTGGCAGACACGGTGTGTAAAATCTACAAATTATTTTAAGGATTTGCAAGAATGGTCTGCGCAGATAAATTCATTCTGTCTCTTCTCGTCTCTTCAGGTCCCCCGGCCTCTTGCTATGAAGAAAGAGGGGATCCAGACCCGCAAACGCAAACCTAAGAATTTAAACAAGTCCCAAACAGGTTAGCTTCAAACGCACAAGAACTGATATGAGACTTCACCAAAAATAAACTGAGGAGCTTCTACATCCTGTCCAAGATCACAATACTTTTTCAAGGTTATAATTTACACCATATGTTAACTAAGCCTGTGTAAAAAGACACACAGGCATTTTCCTAAATTTGAACCAGATTTAATTTTCATGTTTTAGGTCAATTAGGATTACCAGACTTTTTCTGTACATTGTCTCAAGCTGTTCTCTTCTCATAGTCTCTTGATGCGCAGTTATAACACTGACGCCACCGATTGGAGAAAACGGTGAAGCCAGCAGTTCTGGGAGAGTCCTCCAAACTCACCAGCAGCAATCAGCACATACCTGGTGCAGCTGCATTTCTGCTGGACTTATCATACAAAATACGTTTCAGTTCAGTTCAATTCAGTTCAGCTCCTAACAATGGTTATAAACAGCATGAGTAGCCCACTTGTGACAATGTGCAAAAGGTAGCTTCTTAAAGAGACAGAGGGAAATATGCCTGGAAAATACAAAATGCAGCTCAAATAAACCCGTCAGAAGCTTGTTAAGGCTAATTTAAAAGGAACAGTAATCTCAACAATTTCTAATTAGAAGAAATAACTAAATACTTCCCTAAAAATATAAAATTCTTATTACATTTAGCTAACAGAAATCAATGTTTAGATCATTCTCACTGATCTAAAACACAAACATTTTAGTCTGGTTTGATTTCACAAAGTGAGAAATTCAAGAGCAAGCAGTTGTAGATATAAATCACATCCATTGTTCTGCTATACTCTGTAGGAGCTCCAGGCACTGAGGGGGCTCCAGTTACTCCAAGCAGCACTCCCCGCTCCTCTTCCTCTTCCTCTACAACATCCACCTCCAGCACTGCAGTGGAGCCTCGCCAGATAAAGACAGAGCCAGAAAATCACAACTTGTACACACACCACGGCCCGCACACACAAGTAAGCCACTTTGACAACTACGTGACGTTAGCTTTTGGCCAGAGAGAGACACGACTGCCAAGCAGACTCTGATATGATTTTCAGTCTATCAAATGTTTCTCACCACTTGTATGTTTCTCCTCAGATTTCAGCCCTACCTGCCTATATGGCAGCCCAGGGAGGCGCCATTCCTCTGAAGATGTCTCCAGGTGGACACGGTGGATCCTCCAGCTCCAAAACAGAGCCTTGGAACAACCTAATTATGGCTTAGGAGACCTACAGCTCTGCAACTCAAAAAACTACCTATGTACAGCGTCCTAACAAAACTCTCCAGGAAATGCTCGATGCACCGTTTTCTCCAATCTGGAGCATCGGTGTCATGACTGCACACCAAGACACGATGAGAAGACACCGACTTGGGACAAAGTACAATTAAACTGGGATTATAAAGGAACATTTTCGAACTCAAACTTTTTCCTACAAAGCCGGTATGGAAGCACAAACTGCCTAAAAGATACTGAAACAGTACATGACACTTGAGAGAAACATGAGAGACTTAAGTGTAAGTACTGCCTTCATAGCTTTGGACATTGTTTTCTGGATGTTATGGACATCCGAAACACAAATACAGATCAACTTTGTGACAAAGGTTACAAACCAGAGGTGCCACACCAAGTGTTATCAGGGTCAGTTTACAGGAAAATAGTGGAAGGGCAATATTTTATTTCTAGCAAACTTTCAAATGATCCATCTGGGAGACTGTGCTAATGATATATTAGTATAATATTGTATTAGCAGGAGAATATGTGAAAGCATTTAACATTTTATATCCTAAAAAAAAAGATAGATCATTAACCTCAACAATCACAGAGATAGCCTGAAATTGTGCTAAGTGATGAAAAGGGCAGCAACTGTGATATTTTCTTGCATCCCTGAAAATAATGTGTAAAATAAATCCATCTTTTATTACAGTAACAAAAACTCGATTTAAGGACCTACATGCAGTTAGCTTAAAAAAAAGACATTTAAGTCAACTTTTTCAGAGTGGGGATGTTTCCCAGCTTCACTCACATCTGGAGCAAAATAAATCATTCTTAGATTTGAAAGGACTCTCGGATGAAAATATTCCTTCAGACCCACAGTAACAATTTCATTGAACCAGAAGCTGTTTTGAGTCCGAAAATGTTGTAAAACATGTCTTTAAATGTTTGAAAAAGTGTCCGTTCAGACATGGATAAAATGTTAAAATGAGGTTCAGAGATGGTAAATCAAAGAAAGAAATACATCGCTCCAAAATAAATAACTAAAATAATTGCATTTGTTAAGCATTAATATATTTGTATTCTTTAGAGTATGAAACAAGAAAAAAAAAGTCTGGAAAAAAAACAAATGTATTCCTTACTTTATTTGATTTCACAGCCAGACCTTTGGAAATTATAAAAGCAAACTTCACATTTTTAAAATCTTTTCAACAGAGGAGGAACCCTGGCTCATCTATCAGAAAAGCGATTGCTACGGTTATGCATCACAGCAATTGTTTATAAGTAAAGAAGTAACAGCAAAAATCATTTAAGATGCACAGCATCCAAGAAGATCTAAAAGTTTTTTAAAAGGAAAACAAAAATCAGTTAGAAATTGTGAAACACTCAGCAAAACAACCAAGGCAAAAATAAATGAATACAAACTATTCCTGTAAATTCCTCCTACTCTGCCTCATCCGTCACTCCTCACCCTAAGTATTACCTCAGCGAAAGTGAAATACGGCTTAGTGTAACAAGAACTCCTTCGTCGTGGCTCATTGGCTGTAGTTCCTTAACTGCACGTCACGTCTGAAAAAAATAATGAAGACAAACTACCTAATGAGAGCGTGACAGCAGGCACACAGCTCCCTCTGCTGGCTCAGGATCAGATCTGCATCTGCTAGTCAGTAGCAGATGCAGATCTGAGTCAGTAGCAGATGCAGATCTGATCCTTGAAATGTTTGTGGGAATCTACATTAAAATTCACGTCCTATTGTAATGTCGTTATTGATGAGTAAACTGTACAGAATAGTTGCAATGCTTTCTAATCTGCTGCTAGCGAGAGATAACCGGCGTAAATGTGGCACACTGTCATATGTAATTACAAGAATGAGAAATGTACAAGCTTCTGTAAAAACATCACTCCACTATAATCATATACTCTGTTATTTGTGATATATTGTAAGCAAATGTAATAAAGGGAAAGCATTTTGACGTAATATGAGTGACGGGTGAGATTTTTGGCAGTTTTCAATGCACGACAAGGATTCTTAGCACTACTATTATCTTTATCTTTACAAAACCCTGAGTTTTACTAGGAATTTTAAAACTTCAATTTTCCGATTTGCAAATATGCTTGTGTGAGCCTGTGAATGTCCTCAACAAAAAGCCGAACAGTGAGTTGATTAAACTCATCAGTCAGCTTTTCCCTGACAAACTCTGCACACCTGTCCTTCACTGTCTCCCTCCAGCACTGTAGAAACCTGACTCTCATTTCTTCCTGGAGGCCTTCACATACCTCTGAACTGAAAGCGTAACCGAGTGAAAACACCTTTCCTTTCTCCAAATGCTCGTCTAAGCCTTGATTTTCTCCTAAAAGCAAGGACTCTGCTGCTTCCGCTACTGCATTCAGCTCCTTTATAAGGATTTTTTTCTCCTCTTCCTGTTTGGACTCAAGTATACTGTTCATATTTTTGAAGTAACTCTTTTGTTCCTGTTTTTCTTCTGTGGTTATCAAAGGAAAGTGGAGCTTCTCACCGTTTAGTAAGTCCTTAGCAACAATAAACACAGTTACGCACAAAGGACTGAGATCATCGATCTTATCAACTGATTCAACGTAGCTCCCATAGTCCACACTTTGAGTTATAATTTCCACTTGTCTGGAGTTGACTTCCTTGAAAACATTTTCTTTGTTTCCTTTAAAGCCCCAACTTCTCACATAGCCAATATAAGTCTTTACTGCAAACATGCTCCACCAGTCTCGGGCCCTACGAACGAGGTTTAGCATGCATGGGTCCGAATTTCTTGCCAAACAAGGACTGTTCATGGTGAAAATATACACAGTCCAGCCTTGAGGGAAGTCCTCTGCCTCCAGAAGCTCTTGAGTTTTTGTGATGATGATGTCCTCGCTGTGTTCTCCACTGTTGTAGTTAGGATAATAAGGCCCGTACATGATGACCTCTTCCTGTTTTTCAATGACTGCCCACGAGTGTTGCTTGTCTTCCCTGCCATATTCATCCGTGATGTCTTTGTGAAAGGCTAAAAACTTGCTGTTCACCAAGTGGTCTAGGAAGACGTCGCCCCGTTTGGTTTTGAGACACTCCAAAACTTTCTGCACGGAGCTTTCTGTGTCGGCCCATAGCCGCATCACCTCCAATAGCTCCAATGTGTTCTGGTGATTGATCTTCCACCTGTTCACACATGCGTCGAACAACCAGGTGGAAGAATTGTTTGTCCTGAAAAACAAAATAGTAATTTATTCAACTATTTTGTCAGTTGGCCTGCAGGTTATTCATCAGCATATTTTTTATTGCTAAGTTAGTCAGAGTGTTCCTTCTTTGGGTGCAATCTCTTTTTTACTTACATTTTGTGTCCCCTACGTTGCCATTTAAACATTGCTAACCTCAGAAGAAAACTACATTTTAGATTAAAGACGATCACGATCTAGAAAGCGTGGTAAGCGCTCACATTTGGTCCCCTTAGTCTAAATAAATCAAAAATAAAATCCTGTCTCCTAATAAGAAAAACACGGACTATGAACTGTGTGCAAATTAATTTAGGCAAAAACAAACCTATAAAGGCAACCGCGGTAGAACAGATTATGGAACAAACTTCATCACAAAAAACAGTTGTATTTTTTGTTATGAGCCAAATGGTTGGTTAATAAGGGCTGTATTAGAAAAGGAGGACCGGCCGCTACAACTGAAATTACCTGGCATTTGGTTTCTTATGAATTTCTGGTTAATGTGCTGGTTGTTCTATTGCATGACGTGAAGACACAACCTTCAAGTTGCTGAAAACATTAGGGTGTGGTTACTTCAATCACACAGCACCCACACCGTGCTGAGTGATCTCTTTATGTACTTCTTCAACGCCACAGAAACTCCACATGTCTTTCTCTGTCTTCACAGATTTTGAAAAGACTCAGAGTTCACACTAACATGGCTAAATGTTTAAGATCAACCACCTAAATCTGTGGAGGAATCACAGTCTACAGGATTTATCAAACAACTAAATGCATTAAACACCTAAAGACACTCTCACTATAGAGATAGTTTGCTGCAATAAACAAACCAGGAAGAGGTGATAATTGAAGGTAATTAGTATTTGGGCAGATTGTATTACTGATACCCTCCATAAGATAAAAGGGATGCAACTTAAACTACTTCCTTGAATTGATTCTTGAATTGATTCGTCAGGATCCCGGTTTGTTCAGTTGTTTTGGAATTTGATTTATTTCATCAATCTGTGTTCCTTAGTCTATTTTTTAATTAGATTAATCTTGATTTGGCTCTTCTTTAGTTCAGTCCTTCTTAGTCTTTCTAGTTATGTTTATTTGTTCTAGTTATTCTTTGTACCTCTGGTTTAATTGTTTCTTCAGTATAGTTATTCTTTAGTGTTACATTTATAGCCATTTTAAATAACTTCAAGGAAATAAAAGCACTTGTTTGTACCCATTATCTCCATGTGTGAGAGATTGTCAGAATTCTTTTTTCTAAATCATTAGGAATGAAAACATAATAATATTTCTGCAAGTAAATAATATGGAGGTTTCTGTCTGATGGTTTTAGATGTGAATGTCACAATTATAAATCTGGAATGTTGGATTTTGACTTTCCATGATTACGATAACATCATACTGTATTCTCCTACTTTCAAACTAAATTAAATTAACTTGAGTCGTAAACATGATTTGCGAAACCTTCACAAACCACGTTTTTATGACAAAAACACACCACATCGTTCTACAAATACACGACGGAAACAGTTTTCATTCAGATTAGAGTGTACTCACATCAGTCTGTCTGAATGTGCAGCTGAGTCCGACCAGCCCATCAAGCATTTTCTCCTACGGAGTGGAAGCTGACCATCACACCCAAGTAACAGATGCCGCTTACGACTAAACCTGGACGGAAACACACACATGTCGTTTCAATGAACAGAGCCGGCGAGAAGAATATGTTCAGAAAGTCTTAAATTATGGCAACAGGGTTGTGGGCTGACAAGAGGAGAGAGATGGAAGTGAAGATTAGAAGAGTTAAAGGCTATTTCAGCATAAATATTACGAAGACAGGTCTATTGTTTTACTAAACTCAAATATTTAGTTTACTCACATGGGAATGTCCATTCTGCTCTTCATCTACTGAAGTATTACTCTCAGGTTCTCTTGCTGCTTGCAAATGCTGAGCCGCTTCCTGGACTTCTGCTAAATGAAGTGAGAACTATGCTTATTATTTTGCTTCTGCCAGCCCAAAGCTCCACCTCTGATGAACACACACAGTCCTACAAAAACATCCTGCAAACTGTTTCTATAGTCGCTCTGTGAGTTTGTGTCAACTACACTTTCATCATCTGTGTGTGGTGGTCCTGTTTGTAAGGAGTAAGGTGAACAGTTCACAAAGCTGTGCAGAAAGAGTAAATCAAAACCACATTTTTCTTTCATGGGGACAGTGAGGCGACATCAAAGAAAAAAGATTTAAAGAGAAGATAAACTGTGACAAGTCACAATGATGAATGGATGTTCATGATGAAGGTTGGCTGTGATTCAGCTTTGAGCCCTTGAGGTAAATCCTGCACACAAAGGCTATGCAGTGGTATGAAATATGGCTTTAAGAAATTTGATTGTGAGTTTTGTTTGCTGTTAAACAGTTCAAGAGAATTTTTTGTCCTGAAAGTAAAACCTCAAAATTATTTTTCCTAAAATAAATAAATAAAAACTCCTCAGTGGAGCAGGGGCAGTATTTTCTTTCATCTTTGAAAATTTATCTAATTAAAATGGGGAAAACATGTTCAGACTGAACTGTACAAAGAGGTTCTTTGGCGTATGAACAAAAATATGCTGAGAAACATGTTAGACAAGATCTGGCTGCAAGTTGATGTTTTATAGTGAAAAGAAAAATAAATGAAAAAGTACTGTGATTAATAGCAGTCTTGAACAGTAAAATTTATTATGTTTTCATTATACACAAAGTCACAAAATAAACTGACAATTTATCTCCCTCAGCAAAAGGCTTGAAAGACAGCTTAATTACTTTCTCTGAGCTGCTGACTCTTCTTTTATATTTAAGCACTGAGCTTTGGCTGCATCAGGACTTTGGCATTTTTTTCTTCACTCTGCAGGCTTTCCTTTCTCTAGCTGTCATTGTGAATGCCGTGCAGTTATTGGTGCAACTTTACCTTACCACTCTGCCATGGCTGTCTGTTAAAAAGACGTCTCTGCGCTGGGCCTTTTCCCCTTCGCAAAGAAACTTTCCAAAGATCTGATCTGTTTCTTGCTCATTTTGCTGCTTGTGGGCTCAATGTTGGCAAGATGTAACCAAGAGAATCCAGTCAAAAGGATTTTCAAAATAAAAAAATCCTCCAGACTCAAATAATGCATAAAAATAATAGAAGTATTTAATTATTTCTTGTGCGACCCGGTACCAATTGGTCCACAGACCGGTACCAGTCTGCGGCCCAGGCGTTGGGGACCACTGCTCTAGAGGAAGGCTTGCTGCATTGTCAAAGATTCAAACCAGTTACATCCCCTTCCTTCCATAAGCAACCTTTTACCCCTCGGCTTTAAATTATACAATTAAATTAATTTGACTATATGCAATATTATATTTAGGACGGGTTCAGACTGTATTTGTTATGATTACATCATTAGATTGTGTTTCAATTGAATTTCACTGTTTTGAATATGAATTTGTATTCAATAAAATCAGAATCCAAATTCTGATTTTGTAAACAAATTGTCTTGTAAATTACTTCCAGGTGGCATTCTTTTGTTAAATAATGCTAATGAACCAAATTGAGCTTCATTGCCCTAATGTGAAGTAAATTACAATGTGATTATGAGATATATTTTACAGCTACAGTACCACTTTTCTCAGGGTAGTGGTGGAAGTAGGTTTTTATGAAATTGTAATGTGTAGATAAAATACACAAGAAGGATCTCAGTTATATGATTAGTTTTGATTTTGGTTTCTTTCTTTTAATTGTCTTTTTTTTTTTTTTTTTTTTTACAATGCAAATAATGTGAATAAAGCCCGAGCACTGACAAAGACTTCTGAGAGAAAAGACCCACTGAAATGTCCGAAATGTAAAGCTAAAGGTTATGCAAGTAACCCAGGACGCTGTGGGCACAAAGGCATAATTTTCATTTTAGGAATATGTCTAAGTATACAACTTCAGAAACAGACAGCTTTCACCTACTGTCATTTCTTTTTGTGCAAAGACTTTATTAGATACACCTTGTAAAACGTTTGTAAAAATCCACCAATTAAGACTATGCATTTACACATTTAGATGTGGTGAAAATATCTCGGAACCAGCAATCATACAATTTATTTTGCAGCTATGTAGAGAGCCTACAATTAATCATAAAGATCATGTGACAGTAATCACATCTGTAATATGTTTCAGTGTTAAGTGTTACTTATTAGACTGGCATGTTTTTTTTTTTTTTATTTCTTCCTTGTTCTTTAAACAAAAAGTGATTTCAGCATATTTGCAGAATTTTCTCTAGCTTTGACACAGCTTTGAATAGTTTTTTTCTTACAGTTTAAATGTAATGATCTGTAATAAATAAATAAATAAATATATTACTACAATGAAACCACTGTTACTTATGACATTTTAAAAATATGGACAATTTTCATTTTAAAAGCAAATAAGACAAAACAACTTGATGTGCTTGGGTGCCTAGGTCTAGAGTGGAAACAGTAAAATGGCAATTACTTGTTTAATTATTTGCAACCAAATCCATAACTTCAGGTATAGAATAATTTTACTTGAATTCTTTGCATGAGTGGATTACTTAGATCGTTATTCAGATCTGTTGAGAATTTTTACGCCAAATCAAAGGCCCCATTAACATTTAAACAACAAAAAACAAAACACTTTGATGACTTTAATAGCTATTTTACTGACATAAGACCCACCATGGTGTGGGGATATGATCTTGATACAATTTTTATCCTTTAATATGAATAAAGCATTGTTTCCATACAGCTGTCTACCTGGATGAGCTCCCATGTGCTCATCCAGGTAGATATCAAACTCGTGGGAAACTGAAACTGAGACGTATGAAGTATTCATAAATTTGAAGTATTCACAAGAGTTCCGCATAGATAATTACTCTTAGTAATAGTTTTGTTTCTGGGTTTTGTTTTGAAGGAATTTTATTGATCTTGAACTTAAACCCTGAAACATAAAATATAAAATGTCTGGAGCATGAGTCTTTATTTTGAATTGCGGTAGATCAGAATACCTATACACCTTACATATACACTGAGACATGATGCATTGTACAAGAGTGCTATAAACACATCTTACAGACATAAACTTATTTTTGGCACTAATGGAACTCAATATGGAATAAAGCATGGAGGAATATTTATATTTTGTTGAAATAACACAAAAAAATCTAAGGCAGTTTTGAAGGAAAAGGGAAGTTAACAGGTACTTGCAAATATGTTGTGAATGTTCTTTTTCAAGTATTGCATTTGATCAAATTAGGTAAGGGAGAAGAGGAACATTCTGTCTAACCTGATTTAAAACAACCTTGTTCGGTTCAATCTTCATACTGTGGTGGATAATCCTGAATGAATTGTATTGCTTTCATATGTATCAGTTGTCGTGCCCCGTTTTCCCCATATCCTGCCTACCACATTCTTTCAGAACCAGAAGACAACTTGTCACCTCTACTGCCAGATTTCAAAGAATCTTTCTCTGATTAGGCAGGTTTGGGCTTGTTGAATTTCCTCTGAACTAATCTTCCTTGGTTATCAAGAAAACCAATTTCTCCAAAACAGAAACATGAATGAGAGTCATTATCATCCCAACTCCTATAAGTTCGTGGGTGAATAACCATTGTCTGCAGGTTGTGGCCTTATTGTAATAGAAAAATACCTACACGTACCAGCATGTGTGTATGTGCATTAGGATTTTTTTTTTTTAACCCACTCATTTAATTTATTTATTCATTTTTGAAATTCAGGTCAGACTGTGTTAAAGATAACAATTGTTGTCCTACCTCTTATGTTTGTGCGTTTGATATTTTCACGTACAATTTGTATAATTGTATACCTACTCTGTATTTGTGTTGGTTTATGCAGGTATTGTGTAAGAGAGCATGTAAAGGAGAAAGTTCTATAAGATGGGAAGCAAAAAACTGATTTCGAATGTCTGTGCCCTACATGTTTGGACATCAGAGCTGTCTGTAATCTAGTGGCTTGTTTATGTGCTACGTGATAATCAGGGAGCTCAGCTTATCTCAGTGTCAACAAGCTTTAGTCCACAGTTGGAGGCAAGACACTCCCTGAAGCCTCATTTAATGGTTGACTATTAGCATTTATTTAGAAAGTAGAATATTATTTTTCACCCCTTTATGCCAAAGTTGTAAAAGCAAATAATGTGTTTATTCATGTTTAAATTTGGTTGAATTTTTCTCTGCATTTCACAGTTTATCAGTGTGTGAACACTTTTGAAATAACAATTAGTATCAATGACCGGGCAAACTAATTTATCATATAATAGCAAGAGTGGACTTCTACACTAAATACATATTTACCAGTCACTCAATTAGATACATGTTAAGTTTTTTGTGGCACAGAGTCAAAAAGTTGTCCAAAACATCTGGTTGTTGCTACATTATTAACCTATGTAGGAGTGTCTGTTCTTTAGCAGAGTTAATTTCCCTACAAACTGCCTGCCAGATGGATTTATTTTCTTACACAGATGCCAAATTTGAACATATAATATGAAATTGATACCCATCAAACCCCAAAAGTTTCTTCTCACTTTGTCACCAAACACTGAACTTGTGTAAATTGTCCCTTCAGTTTCCTGTTCTTACCTAACAGGGGTGGCACCTGGTATGGTCTTCTGCTTCAGGGTTTGATGTCCATTCAGCGGTGGTAAATATTACACACATAGACCTTAACAAGTGGTTATTTAAACTGCTGTTGCTTTTGTGTCATATCAAAATGACTAGTCCATTTTCATCTGACTGCTAACTAATTGTTCCAAACAACTGCTGCTCACTGTATATTTTCTCTCTTGTAGAGCATTTTCTGTAAACCCCAGCGATACCTGAAAACAAAACATTCAGAGGGTAATTAATTTGGGAAACACCCAAGTCAGCACTTTTGCCAATCTTACTTAAATCGTATTTTTCCACATTTTTATGTCACACAGCAAGTTGTCTTCACCATATGTTTTATTATTATTAAAAGTCTAACTTTTAATAATAATAATAATAATAATAATAATAATAATAATAATAATAATAACTTAACTGAAAGTGAGCAGCTAAAATATCCCTGACCTCTGCTTTTATTATTATTTTTTATTTTTTTACAGAAAATAGGACACTGAAGGGATCCAGACTCAATGCTTTTTGACTATGCAGCAAGGAACACAATAAATAAACAAATAATGATTATAGTGTTAGTATTACATACGCTTTTTTCCCCAGAGTTATGCTGGTGCTACTATAACGTTGAAAAGATACAAAGTGTCTATACCACAGTGTGGTTTAATTATATGTTTTAATGGCCTGCCATACAGGCCGACTTCCGTCGATTTAAGTATTATTGCGCAGGAATGGGTTTTCTTTCGGACGACCGACGGGCCAATCAAAAGGTGCGCTCAGATGACACTTTGTTGGGGCGGGCATCACGCCAGACGCTCTGGTCGCTCAATGGACCTTTCGCTGTAAACCCATGACGAGCCAGCCAATCGGGAGCGTCAGTCCACATGACGCGCTTCAGACGGAAAACGTCATTCACCTAATGGTGGTCTTCCGACAGCTGCGTCTCAGCTAGGAAAGCGCCGATGGAGAGCGTCTGTTCAGTGCTGCGCATCAGTCTGCCAGAGTAAGACCGGGACAACCCGCGACAACATGGACATCCTGAAATCGCTGGGACATCCGGAGGAGATATTTAACTTGTTTAAGTTTAAGATGGGAGGATGCAGAGCTGTCATGCCAAAGTTGGATTATGTGAGTAAAATAAGAGCTCAGTACTGAGACAGAGGCTGCACTACAGAGAGGCTGGATTCATCATGGGGATTATGCAGCACGTCATGTTCTGCTTTTCAGAACAGCTACAAAATATATATATATATGCAAATCATAATAAAATGAACGTACAGGTAAGAATGTAGGCCTGCTGCTTTGCAGTGCAGTTAGTTGCGCTGTCCAGTGTGGAATCAAGCAACTAATGGGACTTTGTCAAATTAGATCTGTGCTCTTACCAGACAGAGGTGACCACTGACGTAGGATTTAAATTGCATAATGAGCTTGGAGGGTTCACCACTAAGGGGAGATGATAATCCCACAGTTTAAACACTAATGTGACCTGAAAAGAAAACCAGGCTGCAAAAATGTCTTGCAACAGTCTCCGATTTTTGTTGCTGGCATCTCAGCGCACGATAGATGTCACTGCAATGCAGAGACTGTCGCACCAAAGAGTGCTGCATCCATCTAAATGTATCCTGGCAAATGAAGTGACCCGGATTAATCTTAACCCACTCTAAAGGGATGGCATTGATTGGGTGGCCTTTATTTCAAGCTGGAGCAAAAAGCCACTCTGATTCCCTTTATTAACAATACCAAAGGTAAATGTGGAGCAGAGATCACTGAAAGAAAGGTAAGCCACTGTATTCCACTATTAAGGCCTTGAAAATATTAGGAACTTTGGTTGACACTTATCTAAACATAGCATAAACTTGTTTGTTTGAAAGGGTGACGGTCTGTTTTAGGCTAATGTTACCTATATTTTAAATAAATAAAAGTCTGCTACTTACAATGAAACTTTTGTGCTCTTGTTGCTTTGCTCGGCTGGCAAGCTTTATGAAGATGCTGAAATAATTCAAAATAAATAATTAGCACCTGCCTGCACAACCTGGCTTTCTTAAAAGCTCACAGAATATATTGAGTTGCACCTGAAAATACAACAGAACTTTTTCTGAGTGCCCTGTGTTTCATCTTATTTACTGCACTGCGTTTCAAGAAAAAAAAAACACAAACGGATGTAGTTCCCACGGTCTTCCACAAGGTGTCAGCAAAACACTGCCCCTCTTAGTTCTGCTTTTCGATCTGTTTGTCACGATTCGTTTTGCAGAAATAAACACTCGTCTTGCAGCGCGTCGTGTACTGTAACAATGCTCACGTTCTTTCAGTGATGATAACGCTAAAACTAAGCACCGCTTTTCCACATATTATTTGCGAAAGTATCAGTTGGCGGGACAAGGTTTATTTTAAACCTGTATTTGCTATAACAATTGATTAAAAACATGTCCTACAACCCTGCAGCAGTGCATCCTGAATATCTTTTTGACGAACGTTAGATCTAAATTGATCTTGTTAAATATTTTATGAAGTTTGATTAGGAAATAACGTTGCAGCTGCTCGTGTTTTGGGTTGAGGGGTTGGGGAAGTGTGTCTTAATCAAAACAACAGATCTACAAACGCTCTGCGCCAGCTGCGCTCTGCTGAAGCAGCGACAATCTTGCTTATAGACCTGCGGCTCGACCTCACGCCCTCCAAAAGATTTTACAACGCGCTTCGACCCCTCTCTCCGCTCGCTTGTCCTCTACATGGACTCCGGGTTTGTTGCTCCCCCAAGCAGCGTGGCCTCCACATGGACCGTGTCGTCTCCTAACTGCGGGCTCGGGCTCTTCCCGTCGGGGTTTTTTCGTATGGCCGGAGCCTGCTGCAAATGTCCGGCCTCTCTGTCCGTGTTGAAGCGCTCCCTCTCGGTGGCGCCGCGAGGCTGCGGCTCCTCTCCCCCTCGGTCCGTCCTGCAGGGCTGGAGGAGGCGCGGGGAGAGGGGCCTGCAGGAGGCCACCAGACCCAGCAGCGCCCTCAGAACCGCGGGTTTCTACCGACAGACAGCATTTCTTTGTCTCTCCTGCCAGGAGTCTATGAGCGACAGCCTGCGGACCTGCTACGTATACCTGAATCAGACCAGCAGGAGCTTTGCGGCCGTGATTCAGGCACTGGACGGAGAGCTGAGGTGAGTCAGAGCCGAACTGGCTGCAGGTGAGGAGAGGTGTGTCTGCAAAATGTCCCACAACGTGATGGCTGCAGCTTGGATCTTCCCTTGAAACGCCAAGGTAGATTTTGCGTGTATTTCAGCCATATTGAGTCCTTCAGTATAAAACTTGAGGCATGTGGAGACATCTGCAGCTCCTGCAGAAGCAATGTTGTGTTTGTCAGCTCCTCCTGAGGGACGCGTTGCCTCAATTTAACGTTTATAAAACAGCCCCAATAAATCAATAACTCTTCAGTTATTTGCTATCCTAAATAAGAGTGTACTTTGCACATTGCTTTGTCAAATCCTATTTGGCTGCAGCAAAAACATCAGTTCACGATTACCCAATATAACGTTCTCAAGAACTGGCTTAATCATTTATTTAAATAGTTTGAAAATTATGTGAATATTAAACGGTAAATGTCCAACTAGTCTGTTTCCTGTCAAAACTAACAAAGAGTTTATCAATGATTGTTTTGGTCTGTCAAATTCCAATTAAACACATTAAAGTTTGTATTTGTAATCTTGCAAGTTTTTCATTTATTTTGATCCAGACATGCGGTTTGCATCTTCTACCTGGTGCTTCGTGCACTGGACACAGTTGAGGATGACATGACCATCCCTTTGGAGAAGAAGGTGCCCATGCTTAACAATTTCCACACGTACCTGTACCAGGAGGAGTGGTGCTTCACTGAGAGCCAGGAGAAGGACCGTCAAGTTCTGGAGGATTTCCCTACGGTCAGTGGCCCTCAAACATACACAAAGAAAGCCATTCAAACCTCTGCAGAGGGATTTCTTCATGAGAGAGTTGATGTGCATTTGCATTAATGCCGTTCATTAAGAGTAACTGTGGTTGTCCTGGATTGTTTGAACCCAGATATCACTGGAATTTAGAAACCTTGCTCAGGAATACAGAGACGTCATATCTGATATCTGCCACCGGATGGGAGTCGGGATGGCTGAATTTCTGGAGAAGAAGGTGGGATCCATGAAAGAGTGGGACCTGGTAAGTGTTATCCATGTGTCACAGTTATGTTAGAAGCAAAACAGCAAAATAAATTACTTTGAATGTATTCCTATGCATGTTTGATTTTATTATAAAGGTTCTGCCTAATGATTGCAATAGACTTTTGGTGCTGGCAGCTGATCATTGCCTTATCTTTAATCTAGCATGTTTTGAATTCCACACACGTTTTTTTTTCCATTCTAGGAAAAAAGTTACATCAGATTTAGCAAGTGTTTGTCACTATGTGAAATAAGCTGAGAACTAATGACTAATCCAGAGGCAACATAAGGTGACCTATTGGCTACAATGGTATTATTAGTACATCACTATAATGATAACAGCCTTGTTGTGTGTCTTTTGATCTGTGCAGTACTGCCACTACGTTGCCGGTCTCGTCGGCATCGGTCTGTCGCGGCTCTTCTCTGCCTCCCAGCTGGAGGATCCAGAAGTGGGACGGGACACGGATCTGGCAAACTCAATGGGCCTGTTCCTGCAGAAAACAAACATCATCCGAGACTATCTGGAAGACACTCAGGAGGGACGGGCCTTCTGGCCACAAGAGGTATTGACAACAACAAAAACGTCAAGTTAGATTGAGTTTGTCAATCTAACTGGATAAAATGAACCTACAAATACAGTTTTAGTGGCTTTAGGAATGTGAGTCATTTACAAAAGATGCCCACTGAATTGAAATAGTTTTATTTGTATCATAATACATATAGATGATTATTTTTTGCCCACTTTTACACTTTGCAATTTGCATATAGGTTAACAAAAATGTCAATCATCTGACCAGAGCACCACGTTCTACATATTTTGGTGTTTTTCATACATGGCAGCAACAGGACTTGATATGGCTTCATCCCAGATATTCCTACATGATCTGTGAATCTTTTCAGTTTTTACCAAGGGTCACGTTGACTGCCGAAAATGTTATAAATGACATTTCTTTTGCGTCACTGTGCAGGCGTGGAGCCAGTTTGCGAGTCGTCTGGAGGATCTAGCCCAGCCCGAGAAGCTGGAGTCGGCTCTGTCCTGCCTCAACCTGCTGGTCACTGACGCTCTGCGTCACGTCCCCGACGTCATCGCCTACCTGTCTCGGCTGCGCAACCAAAGCGTCTTCAATTTCTGCGCCATTCCACAAGTAAAGATCATTTGGTCTTCTACTGAAATAATATGGCGATTTCACTTAATGTCCAGGTGTTTCACTCTCTGTCCTGGATACATTGTCTTTAAAGTTACTTTAAACTAAAGGAAAGGTTTGACAACAAAAACTTGTTTGTAGATTTGGAATTGAACTTTCAAAACCAGTAATAAGCACTATTATTGGTGTATAGTAAGCTGGCTACTGCAATATAAAGTGCAGTAGCCAGCTTACTATACAATGTCAACAGTTCACTGGGACTACTTTATGCTGATTTCTACGATGTCTGGAAACTTTTGTAAAGCCAGAAGTTTGTTCTTTATAAGGAATATTCACTTTTTAAACAATTTACAGACTTCTTGCTGGAGCAGTGTTTAAAAACATCTGCCCTCCTTATGGATATTTCAGCTCTAGGAAAATCCCAGAATAAAATACAAAGAGTTGTTGATATTTTTTCTCATTGGTTTCACAACAGTAGTGACATCAGACACCCAAGTGAAGACTGTTTTTCATGTATACGTATGTTAAATAGATTTTTTTTGGCTTGCATTAAAAAAAATCTTTTTGGACGATGATTCAGGCAAGCACTTTGATTTTGTTGACTGAAAAGATGTAATTCCTCTGTCAACCAGGTGATGGCAATAGCTACCCTCTCTACGTGCTACAACAACCCGATGGTGTTTCAGGGTGTGGTGAAGATCAGAAAGGGACAGGCTGTCACCCTCATGATGGAAGCCACCAACATGAGAGCAGTGCAGACCATCATCGCCCAGTACAGCCAAGAGGTTTGTAGGTTCCCTTAGTCTTTTCTCTGCTGGCTTCTGCCACGTGAACCTGTTGACCCAAATTCCTCTCTCTTCTTGCAGATTTTACAGAAGGTCTCCCTCACCGATCCGACGCGGGACAAGACGCTGCACATCCTGGCTGTGATCCAGGAGAAGTTGGCCCTTCCTCAACCCGACCTCGGCTCCAGGAACCACCACTTGTCTCCTATGTACCTGTCGGCTGCCATGCTGCTGGCCGCGCTGAGCTGGCAGTATCTCAGTACGACAGCTGCCCAGGCACAGGACACGGGGGACATGCAGTGACTCTTTTCCCGATTAGAAAACCCCGGTCTTTTCCTGGATATCTAGTCCTTCTGTTCCTTGGGGAACATAAGGAACGTCTTCCCACATTGGAGTCTCACACCGGCTGTTAAAGAACCACAGACTTGTTGAACTTTGGGATTCTTTTTGCAGCCTGATCTAAAAAAAATTCTGCGGTATTGACAGGTTCTCATCCGTTTTGTGTTTACTGCAAAAGGACAATGTTAGGGTTTTAGACAACAGCTATCAACCTTTGTGAAGTTCCACTGATTTTTGTTTTCTGAAATTTTAGCTTTTTGTGTCCTTGTTGAATCCTCACTGTGAGAAAGACTTGAAAGTACATCAGCACTTACACTGTTGGATCACATGGACATATTCCAATAACCGATTTAGAACATTTCCTGTTTCGTTCAGTTTTGACTTTATTCAACAATATGTGGGAAAGATCTTTCTGCTAATTTTATCAGTCATGAACTAAAAAAAAATGGAATAAAGTGAAATATATTTTAAACAAAAGGAATTTGTTGGCAAAGTGTCCTTAACAGCTTTGGTGAGTAGAAAGGCTAGCGCAGAGTGACCTTGTACAGAACCAAAGGAGGGCTACAAACATTGCTATGTAATGTGTCATTTTCATTTGTATATATTTGAAGAAATAAAGATGCTGAAGGGTGCAATATGTGTGAAATCAGAGTATGCCTGCACTTCTGTTTTGTTTTACTTGAGTCAAAGATGGAGAACCTTGTTAAAATGAACCTACAAATAAATGATGCAAGTATTTCAGCCACAGGCTGTGGTAATAATCCAGCTGTATTACTTCACTCTTGTTTAGGCCTGTCACAACTTCCATAATGTTGACATCAGCTATGTGAAAGGGCTTTGTGGGACCATCCAGAACGGAGCAAAACTGCCAGAAGCAGTAGCAATTTTTTTATGGATGGACTAGTCAAATTTATGCAAACCAATAATGTTCACAGTTACTACTCTGTTTCTATGTCTTTGTGTTTTCTGGCTACTAAACGAATAGGGTGACAGGCCACTGTTCCTGTTTTATATTTCCTTGAGACCGTCCCAAAATTTAAACTATGGCTGACTAAATTAACAAAGGCCAATCTCATATTTGCAAAAAAAAAAAAAAAAAGTGAATAATCCAAGTACTTAAAAACATTTTTGTAGGCTTATGAGGCAAATGGAACCTGAAAAATTAAAGATAGTTGGCAACTTCAAGCTAAAGCACACTGTCCTCCTTTTGTAGGATAGTGACCTTTAGTATCTCAATGACTCAAAAAGGACAAAAAGTAAGATGGTGGAGTGGCCTATTCAAAGTCTGAGCTTAAATCTGACATGTGGTATTTATTACCTTATACAGGCCATTTATGCATTAAAATCCTCCAGAGCGCAGAAATTTCAGCTAAGCAGAATCTTGCTTTTTTACAATTTTAAACTTATTACCAGATACCATAGCAAGAAATCTGTGACAGAATTTTTTTTTCCCAGCAGCGAGAAATATAATAAATTAAGTTTACAGATATTTTTTAGGCACCTGACACCTTGTTAATATAATGCCAAACTTAAGTCATGAGTGACCGTAAACTGGCATAATGATAATTGTAAAGCAAAAGTTAAGCATTCAAAGCTGCTTTAGATTTATGGAAGGCAGGTGATCGTCATTCAATCTCATGGCCACCACCAGACAAGCTGTAGCAAACTATTGTATGTTTTTGTTGTTTCATGAGGTTTACAAAAATGTCTTTCATTTACTTTCTTTTTGTATAAGTAAATCAACATCTTCCAGGGGTATTGATTTTAAAGCAGAAGACTGAGATCCATACAGTTCCCTGTGAATTACTCTTCTGTTTACCAAATTAAAAAGGGACTTGCATGGGTTTGCATATTTCTGTCTTTATTCTCACCTGTATCCTAATTCCAAGAGCAACAGTAAACCTTTGGAGTTTTTCTGGTCACATGAGACAAACAGTTATGATACATTTATTGCATAAACATGTGATTCTATGACTTTGCAACATAGTCATATAAAGGACTGCAAAACAGACCTTGTTCTTTGAGGGGACGTTAACAGCAGTGAAGAGAAGCTTTCAACTTTGAAACAACAACAACACAGGTAGGAGGACATTGATTTAAGATGTCTTTTTTGCTCTTGTAAGTAGAATTGTACTAGTTAAAATATTGAAATAATTTTTATTTATATTAATACTTACAGCACTGGTTTGTCTCAGAATTTAATAATTCGAAGTTGGGAAAGTTATCCAATAATTTACTTCTTTGAAATGAACTAAATGTTTCTGGTTTTAATCAGAGAAAATAAGGATAACAGCTACCATCATGTGGAACAGTAAATAGTGTGTAATTGCATCTACAATTACCACAGTTCTTATGATTTCAAGTGTTTTAATAATGTCATCTGTTATTCAGGATGCATCCTTTCTTCCTGCTTTGTATCGTGGTGACGGGGTCCGTTGCCTGGGCTCGACCTAATCCGTCTCCCCTCTCCTCAGAACTGATCCACCTTATTAACAAAGCCAACACCACCTGGACAGTGAGACTATTTTGTCTTTTTTCCTTTTTTTCAAGATGAAAATGACACAGCCACATACTGTGGTAATAATCCAGTTGTATTACTTCACTCTTGTTTAGGCCGGCCACAACTTCTACAATGTTGACATCAGCTACGTGAAAGGGCTTTGTGGGACCATCCTGAACGGGCCCAAACTGCCAGAAGTGTAAGTTTTAACAGTGTTTCATGTTTCAGGGTGTGAAATGTGAGTGTTCAAACTCTCACATGACGACGCAGGTGATAATCACCATGTTTATCACCTGCAGGAAGTTACAAACTGTCTTCTCTTTCATTTAGGGTTCACAACATTGAAGGTATAAACCTTCCAGACAGCTTTGACCCGCGCCAGAAGTGGCCCAACTGTCCCACCCTCAATCAGATCAGAGATCAGGGCTCCTGTGGATCCTGCTGGGTAAAAAACACCTCTACAAATAATGAAAAAAAAAACAAACAGCATTTTATTTCACAACATTTTGTTACTTATCTTTTTTTTTTTCCTACAGGCTTTTGGGGCGGTGGAAGCAATATCTGACCGTCTGTGTATCCAAAGTGGTGGTAAGATCACTTTGGAGATCTCTGCTGAAGATCTGCTCACCTGCTGTGATGATTGCGGAATGGGGTGAGCAAAAGAACAAAGACATTTCTCCACATAGAAGGGCACTTCTAGATTCTTAAGTATCCAGAAGATAACTATGTTTGACAAGTGACAACAGTGGTTAATTTTTTCAAATGAAAACAGCAAAAAAGCAAGCAAAATCTTCCTTAAAATGTAGTGTTTGAATTAATTGTAAATGCAAATTTTTGCCTTTGCATGTTTGTTCCAAAGACTGAAAAAATAACCTCCAAATGATATCAGTACTTGGGATTTTGAGACTTGAATGACACTTTTAATGGTGAAGGGTTTTTTGGAGAAAACTGCTCAGTTGCATTGTCAACAGTTTGGTAGCTTAATCAAGATCAAGGAGAAAAGATAGTGGATTTAAACCATTTGTGTGTTTCCTTCATATTCTTGCATTCTTGTGCCCTTTTGAAAGACTTTTTAAAGTAACACATACTGTGGGTTTGTTTGCTTGCAGGTGTTTCGGTGGTTATCCCTCCGCTGCTTGGGAGTTCTGGACAAAGACTGGCCTTGTGACAGGAGGCCTGTATGACTCCAAAGTTGGTAAGCTCATCTCACACTCAAACTGCATCTTTTGAGGGCCAAAAAACTTAGCAGCTGTGTGTGTGCTACAGGTTGCAGACCCTACACAATTGCCCCCTGCGAACATCACGTAAATGGAACTCGTCCTCCGTGCCAAGGCGAAAAAGAAACCCCTAAATGTCTGCAGCAATGCACGGATGGATATACTCTCTTACCCGAAGGACAAACACTTTGGTAGAGGCATTTTTAAGCAGTTTTGCTGGCTTTGGTTTAACTCGTGTCTGACTCTAAGCTCTGTCTGCACCCCTTTAGGCCTGCGCTCGTACAGCATCCCTTCGGAGCAGCAGCAGATCATGACAGAGCTGTATAAGAACGGGCCTGTGGAGGCAGCTTTCAGTGTCTATGAGGATTTCCTGCAGTACAAATCTGGTGAGGCATTCGCCAGCCCAGCTGTGTACACACACATCTCCACTTTACAAACAAAACTGTTCACATTTTTCCTTTAATTTGATTTTTGAGGTGTTTAACTTCATTTTATAATTAACACTATATCTTTTTATTTAAGTATTTGTCGTCTTTTTCCTAAGTGTTTTGCCAACATAGCAAGGTGGATTCACCTCATTTCTTTTCTCAGGCTGTGGATACAGAGACAGACAAGCAGGCCAGTTATCTGCTGAAGTCCTGTTCAGTCTGATCCTCCTTGTTGCATTAAACACTGAGTTACAACTGATTTTCCACATATTCCCGTCTTCTTCGAACTGACACTTAGGAAAATATTCATGCTCTTCCTTAAGCATGAAAGTTAATGAGCTCTTTCTTGCTATAACAGGCGTGTATCAGCATGTGACTGGAGAAATGCTGGGAGGTCATGCCATAAAGATCCTGGGCTGGGGGGAGGAGAATGGCAACCCCTACTGGCTGGCTGCAAACTCCTGGAACAATGACTGGGGAGACAAAGGTATAAGTGAATATGTAATGTTTTTTATTCATATTCTACAATGAAAATTCAAATTTCACAACATTCTAACACAGCAAGAATTGGAAATAACGTCCGCATGTTGCTTTCCGCACACAGGTTTCTTCAAAATAAGACGTGGAAAGAATGAATGTGGAATTGAGTCAGAAGTGGTCGCAGGAATCCCCCTCAATTAGATGATTTAAAAAATATGTTTCAAGCTTCTTTGTAAGGTCAAAGACCAGCGAGTACATGACATGTAAACTTATGTTCAGATTATCATAAAAAATGGATTTCATGACAGATGATTATTTTTTGGCAGAGCCTGAAGCAACATATCCTGATTTAAGAAAATCTGAATTTATTTTAGGAATTGCTTTGTTTCTCTTTCTGTGGTGAAATGTGAGTTAGAAGCTTATTGTTTAAAGTTGCTTTTACACATGTTTGCAACAAAAACTATTTGCATGCACTTCTATGAGGTTTGTTTCAACATTAAATAATTCTAATATCAATTTCTTCTTTCATTTATTTTTATATTAATTATTTGCTTACACACACCCACGCACGCACGCACGCACGCACGCACACACACACACACACACACACACACACACACACACACACACATGTTCAAAGAAATTAGGTGATTGATGAAGGTTGTTCCATAAAATTCCCATCCTTATGTACTTGACTGTCAACCCCTTGCCCACAAAATATGAACATTTAAAAGGAGGGTAACTTATTTTACTCTTTGGAGGGGAAACAATTTTTAATTGCAGTATATTGGCAGAAAAAGACAAACTTCAAGGAATCAGTATTTAAGAGACAAAGGTAATGGGTTGGATTTCAGCACCTCAACAGTTCAGACGTGGAGCAGCAGAAATAAGGGTGAAAACAAAGGTCCAATTAATTCAAGAATTGTCTGTGTGTAAAGCTATATCATTCGTAGCCATAAAAAACATCACACTTTGATTTTGAGAATTTTTAGAAACTGAAAAACTCAAGTCAAAGTTCAGATCAAGTTACCCATTGAATGTTGGAACAATTCACCAATACTGAGATGTTTATTAGTTTGATTTTTGCCACTTTACCTGGTTTAACAGAGAGAAGAAGAAGAAATTGAATTTATACGTTTTTAGCTATCTAGCTATATACGATAGATAATTTATCACGGCCTCTGAAGCTGCACTTACAGCAAAACGCCACACCGTTGGAGGTGGCGCTGAAGCACATTTCGAATTTGATGCCAATAGAAGAAGGCAAGAAGGCGGGATCTAACCGTCTCGCCATCAGAGGCAGACTCTGGTTGGTTCAAACTCAAACACAGTCTTCGGTAATGGCCTGACAGTCAGGAAGCGGCTTTTTCCGGAGAACATACCGGTCAATAAAGGCCACTGGTGGACTTCTCCGCTGTCACAACCGATGGGACTTGTTGTCGGGGTTGAGGAAAACCGGGAAGCGACCTTTGATCGGTAGCTGTTGGGGAATGAAGGCAGGTTCCCCGAGGTTACTATAATCATTTTCTGTCAGGTGTTTGTTGTGTCGAGCGCTGTCGGCACTGCGGGTCGAGGTTTTTGCTGGAGGATAGCCGTAGGTCACTGGCATGTATTTATCCAATGTGGAGCTGTGGAGAACATACTGGGAGTCTGTTTCCAGGCCGTACACGGTGTTCATCTGCTCCGTGACCGCTGCTCTATACTATCTATGGGGCCGCAAGTGTGAGGTCAGTCACAGCGTTGTCTTAGCTGACACAGTTGCATTATACGCGCTTTATTACTTATTCTATTTTTATTTATTCATTACGGTTTTCCCCCTCTCCCAAAATGTGGGTTTATTCATTGCTACTTTTTAAAAATTGTTTACTTTCAATTCGTTCGTTCTCTTTTAAATGCATTTTTTATTATTGCAGTGTTAAATAGGTTTTACTTTTCTATATTCAGTCTTTTTATTTTACCAAGGTAAACATGCTTTAATTTATTTTATCTATTCATTCTTCAAAAAATGATTATTATTAATTTATGACATTACTAAATATACTTTGCTTTATGTATTATTTACTTATTTTTAAAAACATTTTTATAGTCTTCTATGGAGCTCATGTAGTATAAATGTTCACAAACTGCAGGATGCTGTTTTTATAGTGTTTTCCAGAAACAATGAAAAGCTCAGTTATGTAATTCTTTAATCTGGTACATTTCGAAATGAAGAATTGCAGATTACTTTTACAACTACTTAGATTTGATCAATACTAAGACCCTATATGCTATGGCTACATAATGCTTGATGGCTGCATACATTCTTGTGTGATTTTAATGTCAACACCTTCTCTCTTTATTGCAGAGATTATTTGTTCTCTCTTTTTTTTCCAGACTCCTGCCTTAATATGTAGTGAAGCTTTTAGTGCATTCCTCAAAAAGCACTGTCCTGTGATATCTGAGCCCTTCTGTCCCACTCCCTGGTGCTGGGGAGGACGGGTGCAGACCCTGGTCTGTGCGCTCCTTAAATCCAGACCCCCTGTTTCATATCGCAAGTAAGAGGAATCCTTTCATTTATGTGATTTCCTTTTTTTGCTTTTGGAAATTTATTTTGCCTTCGTTTCTTTTCAGTGAGTTGATTCGTACACCAGATGGTGGTCAGATCTCCTTGGACTGGGTTGACAATCATACCAGTGAGACCTACCCTGAATCTTGCGCGCGACCTACCGTGCTCATCCTCCCAGGACTGACTGGGAACAGCCAGCAGCCCTATGTGCTTCATGCTGTTAGCCAGGCAACAAGACGGGGTTACAGGTCAGCTATGCTTGTGCTTTTTAGAAAAAAAGAAAAATTAGGGATAGACACACCATACACTCCTTGGTGCAGCTGAAAAAGATGTGCTAAAAGCTTTCAATTAGCTGCTAAAATTCCAGGGGGAAGTGTGAAGGAGCTCCAGTAGCATCCAAAAGTCTGGAGAGAGCTGTCAAAACTAGTTTCTGTTCAGACAATAATATTAAATGGATAAAGTAACCTATCCTAAGGAAATATTTATTTAATTTCAACTGTCCTACAGACTTAACTTCCTTGTATTGATTCTTTTTTTTCCAGATGTGTGGTCTTCAACAACAGAGGAGTAGGAGGGGAAGAGTTGTTGGTATGTAATATGAACTTCAAAAAGACCCTGTTTTAGTGATCAGTACTGCAGATTTAAACATTTTTGTAGCTCATAAATGTGATTGATCTGAAGTACTTCTACTTACATAAAATGTTTTTATTCAGAAGATATTTTTAAAATTGTAATATGGACCATAAATGTATTTTTCTAAAAAAAAAAATCTGCATTTATCTTCCTTTTCAAAAATTCACTCACATGGTTAGAAAATACAAATAATTTCAAGAATGCTTTAGTGAATTGTACATTATGTTCTTTTTTGTTTGTCAAAACCTACTCATTTTAGTGAGTTAAACATAAAAAAAAGATACCATTTTGTGGATATAGATGTTTGCACACTGGCTTTAATAATGACCATCCCTGGGTGTTGCTAGAGCAACTGCAGTGTAGGAGTTGCTGCACTGCAGTTTCGAATCCAACACTTCTTTGAATCCGTGCCTCTTTCAGACCCCAGTCACCTACTGCGCTGCTAACACTTCAGATTTGGAGCAAGTTGTGCAGCATGTGAAAGGCTTGTACCCTCAGGCTCCAGTTCTGGGTGCTGGTGTATCCCTTGGAGGGTGAGTGGTTGGTGACCAGCTCAATGCATCTCTTGGACATAATCCTAATTATTTTCTGGCCCTTCTTCTCCTGTGCAGGATGATATTGTTGAACTACCTGGCCCGTAAGCGCACAGAGTCGGGAATGGTGGCAGGCATCACCATCTCCGTCGCCTGGGATGCGCTGAAGTCGTCCGACTCGATGGAGGAGCCTCTCAACTGGCTTCTCTTCAACAAACACCTCACTAATGGCCTGTGCCAAAAAGTCACCAGGTTGCACAGTTTGTCATACATTAAAGTTAATCACAGTTAAGTGGTAATGAAAACATTTAGTTTTCATCAGAAAACTAAATGTTGCTTTGTTTCTTACAGGCACAGGAAGATTCTGGAGAAAGTGGTGGATGTTGACTATGTCCTGAAGGTACGGCTCTTTGAACATCCTCTCTTATAACCTGACTTATTGACACCATTGGTAACCAATATAAGCTCCTGTTTTAATATCATAGCATCATATTATAATTTAAAATTGAGAAAAATTCTACTTTTGTTTTAGCACATTTGCCTTGTTGAGAAAAACAAATCACACATAAAGAAAAACCCCTTGAATTTGCTAATGAACAAATGTAACTGAAATGTTTTTAAATAGTGCATTACTTTTTAACTTGTTCTGAATTTCTAATGAGCTTAATTTAGTCACTCTAAGCACAATAAGTAAAAAGCAATTATGAAAAACAAGAACAGGTAAAATTTATTTTACCATAAGAGAGGAGGAGTCTGGTGAGGGTTTTGATAAGATGGGACTCAGTGGCTTCAGTGTGAAGTAATGAACATCTGAGAAAGCAGCTGTGACGTTGATCTCTAGTAGGTCCTCTAGTGGTCAATGGAGGGAATTGCAATCACGACTTGTTCATCTTAATCACTTACAACCAATTAAACCGCTACAGTGCTGTTACTCCTCCATACACTTTAGTTTTTTTTATTTCATAAGGCATTTAAGTTGGACTGCAATAAGTTGTATTTAACATATAAAAACTGGTGTAATTTTCACTGGTGCAAATGCATGTTATAGTATAGATTTTGGCAGTGTAGGTTCTTAACTTACACTTAACTTCTCTAACAAATGAAAAAAGTTATTTTGTAAATGAAGAAGAGAAAATAGGGCCGACTTTCTGTGTGAACGATTTTGTACCAGATTTGACAAGAAACAATTTAAAGTTATTTTCTATATTTACTTACAGTCTGTTGACTCTAATGTCTTATATTTATGAGGTAGAGGTCACTCAGTTATTTTGATTTGAAAAGGGGCTCCTATCTTTCTTTTTGAGTCTGTTGGTTCAAAGAACCAGAACCAAAGTAAAAGGGTCTAGAGTGCAATGCAGCTGATTCAGATTATATCTGAGATTTGAACATCTTTATGACACTTTATCTCCATAACAGATAAAAACAGATTTGGCATGATTTAAGTAGATTGCTATGAAATGATTAGTTTACAGGTATGAAATGGAAGTAGAGAGGAATCCAAATAAAAGCATGAATTGAGCGTTTATTTTTCTGTCCTCCGTCGTCTAATTCTTTTCTCTGTTCCAGTCACGAACGATCCGGGAGTTCGACGAGCGTTTCACTTCACATGTGTTCGGCTACAAGTCGTGTGTCGATTACTACCATGACGCCAGCCCAGCCAAGAAGCTCCCCAACACCGCTGTACCCATCCTGTGTCTCAATGCTGCTGACGACCCTTTCTCTCCACAGAGTAGTGAGTAGATGACAGGAAGGTCAGATCCTTCCAGACCTACTAACTTTGCAACATACCAATGTCTCTGATCTTTTGAATGTGTCTGCGTCTTTTGCAGCGTTCCCAGTCTCCATAGTCCAGACGCTGCCAAACGTTGCCCTGCTACTGACGACTCACGGCGGACACATTGCCTTCTTGCAGGGTCTGTTTCCTCGCGGGGAGAGCTACATGGAGCGCCTGTTCGGTCAGTTTGTCCAGGCAGTCTTTGAAAACTCGAAGGACATCAAGAGAGCCTGCGGCATGGCAAAAGATGAGCCGGATCAACAACATAGTGACGGTGGAGAAAAACCAATCAAAGATGTCAGTTGTCAGTGAAGCTTGATCTTGAATAGAGGGGAAAAAAAGTCACTGAAATGTATTGTTTTTGTGTATTTATTTACTTTTCCCTTGCATGCTTTTGGCCGTCCACCCAAATGTTTTGACGTCTTCACAGCCCTGCTGATCTACCTCAGACGGGAGCAAAACAAACTAATTCAAAATTAATTGCAGGGAAAACCACTTTTCAAGTGTTTAGGTATGAAGTCCTGAAGCATGTGAAAAGCTTTTGCACAAACGAAAGAAATATTTCTAAATGACTTTTAAAAGATTTTTGGAATGTTAATTGCTTCCTGTTTCCCCTTCACCAAAATCCACCCCAGACACAAAGCAAAGTAATGTGTGCCAAAAAAAAAAAAAAAAAGCCTTTTGAGACAAATTGCATCAAAAAAAGATCAAGACAGAACTGCTCTACTTTCATTACTTTCTGGAATTAATATAAAGAATTTTAAGATTGATGCATTGCTTCCTCATCAAGGTATTTCAAGTATCTTAAATTATGTACTGTTTGCTTATTAGGGGTTTAGAGTACATAAAAACTTACACACTTGATCTTTCTGTGCACTTAAAATATTAGCATCTTCTGTCAGGAAGAAGTTGAAGTATTTAAAAGTTTTATTTTGCTACAATTTGTCATTTAATTACCCATTGCACATCGTTCGATGAAAAAGCGACAAATGAATGAGGAAAATTTTGATCTGCGTAAATCTGCTTGACTGTTCCTGAAGATCTTGTTTGAATTTATTTCTTGTGGCAGCATAGACATGTTTAACGATTGTATTGAATGTAGCACTTATGATGAATGGACTCTAATGTGATAAAAATCCAGGTGGAAGTGAAGTTAGATTCATCACAGATGCCTCCATTATTTTATATTTTAGGTGACTTAGTGCGAAGTGATTTCATGCCTCATTTAAGACCATGAATAAATTATTGCAGCTAAAATTGTTAATTGTTGGCCTTTGACAATGTGTAACTTGACATTTTCTTTGCACATGTTTAAAATGGGTTTTATGTTCTCAAGCAGCATTGTCAGAGCTATAAACACAATCATACTTTTTATTGTTATTTATAAGGCACATACATTTGAATACACAAATATGTAAATAATTTATTCTATGTTATGCATTGAATCTTGAAGACACAAATAAAGAATGGAATTTGAAGAATTTACATTTTATCTGGTTAATTTACATCTTTGGTTGCCTTGCAACAGTCTTCATTCCTCTTCAATTTTTTATGTAGTCACAGCTCACATCTAGACATCTTATTTGTACAAAGATATTTGAAAGAAATATATTATTTTTGTCCACTTCATAATTAAGCACTAATCTTCAAATCCCAATAACAGTCAATTAACTTTCAGAATCAGAACCCTTTATTGTCATTGAGCACAAAGAAAAGCAAAAACAAAATAAAATTAAAAAAAAGCAACTCTCAAAGGCAAGTTAAATAGTTAAATAAAAATAATAATAAATAAGTATCTCAATAAATTTAGAAACAGAAATGATGATCAGGTTTTAGATGGACGATCTGGTCGTGATCTCTCAAAATGTGCGAAAGATTTCAGGCACTAAATGGCATCGGACATTTTTCTCCATTAAAAGTTAAGTGACTAAGATCTGCATCAACAAATAATTCAGATGGTTTTAATTAACACATATCTCAAAGTTCGTCTTTATGTAAAAATGTCACAACACACAGCGATCCTGACAGTGAACCGCCTCCGGTTTCACCGATTAGATCCCAGGCCTTTTATCTCCGTGAGGTAGAGTCATTAATGTAGCTGATTAACCAGAAACACATCAATAATTAACTGGGAACAATAAAGCCCCACACCCTCTGTCACAATCCTAGCCACTCCAAACCCTCGTTTAGATTCAGTTGTGGTCTTGTAAAAAAAAGAGATCTTAAGTAGCATTTACTTTGTGGAAAAAATAGAAACTAACAACCACTTTCCAACTCCTGTAGATTGGAATCTGAGAGTTGAACTGATTGCCCTCACCTCCAAATACCATCCACAGCTCCTACTGTGTGGGTGTAAGGAGGAAAGCAACTTAATATGAGAAAACAATGGTTGTTTTCAAAGGTTTCCATGAACAAAGTTAAAAACATATATTTCTATAGACTCCTTTAAAAGACATCACGAGTTATGTTTTCACTGACATAAAAACTTTCTGGTTTAGATTAGGATTACACAGATTATTTCTATTTGTTACATGCTAGAAAAAAAGGACATTTTCTTTTGTATCTTAACGTCTGAAAGGTTTATACACTGAAGGCTTTTTAAACAGTTTGGTAAAATTCAGATGGTTATGTCCCAGCTTTGCTTCTAATAGGTTAAGTAATACATACTGAAATGATTATAAACAGATTGAGAGGCCACGTTTCATGGAAGTGGCCCTTTATATGTTGTTTCTGTTTTCAGAAACAACATATAAAAAAAAAAAAGTTCCCAGAAACAACATATAAAAACAAATGAAACTTTGCAAAGTCACTCATGGGCAAACGGATTAACCTTTAGAGACAAATTTTGTGTTAGGAAACTGAAATTGAACTGTTTGGTCAAAATGGCCAACATAACATTTGGAGAAAAAAAGCGGTGTGAGAATGAGACCACCAATCCGTAATGGGTAGCAACATAATATTATATTTTGTCCATTAAAACAGTCTCAGTAAGGATAGACAAGATCTTCTTTGACAGCGTCTCTACATCTTTGTGGGACTCCACAAGGTTCAGTGCTGGATCTATTGTTTTTATGTATTTATTTATTTTTTTAATATAATTACATTAATTGGAATTAGTTTATCTTTCTAAGACAAATCCTACGTCTTTGCAGAAAACATGCAGTTGTACATGAATGAATGAATCCTGGAGTTGAGTGAGTCTACCAAATTCTAATGAAATATATATATGTAGAAACTTTAAAAAAATAAAAATAAAAAAAATCTCTCTTGTCATTCTGCCATTTTGCAAATACAAATAATTTGGTTATTCATAACCCATTTAACATAGTAAGAGGTTTGGAGGTTTGTCTAACCTTTTCCTAGGTTAAATGAATCTAGAGAAATGTATGCAAATATGTAGTATAAAGTGTTATGCAACATATTTTCATATTCTCATTTTAATGAAATAATGCAATGGTTCTAGTAAGTAGAAGAAAGATTTTTCCATAATAAAAATACATAAAATTGATTTATATTCACCTATCCATCCTCTTTTGTCATTCCTTGTGGTTCTCATGTTTGAATTCTTTATGCAAAGCACTAGCAAAAAAAATGTTTTATCTATCAATGTCACAGAAATCAGGTTTTTTAAAAAATATTTTCTTAGAATGACTGAACCTCAGTTTAATCACTCGTCAGCACAATTTTTTACTTCTCATCTTCAACTTTCTATCCAGACCATCCTTCTCCTCCCTGCTGTACCTGCCTGGTGTGATGGGCGGAGCCTCAGGTTACGGGTTAATGATTCAACACTATAGCTGCTGAGATTGACAGATATGGAAAGAGAAGGAAAGGAGGAACGAATGAGAGAAAGCTGGAGTGGAGTGAAACACAGGCGTTGCAATGAGAGCTCGGAAAAGTGTGCAAGGGTAGAAAAAAATAAAAATAAAAGAGGGAATAGGTGGTAATGCCAGAGGGGCTGCAGACTGTAGACCATCTAGGAGTCAAGCAGGTTCAGAAGCTGAAACTTCTCCACAGCTGAAGTGGTTATTCTCGGCGCAGGCCAAGTTGATCGTTTGGCTCCTTTGATCCATGTGGCCTGAATAGGCTGGACAGGTGCTCAGCTTCAGAACTGATCTACACCTCCTGCAGGTAAGTCTGTCTGTTTGACCATGCTGCAGTTTTTTGTGTCTTCTTCTAATTGTGTATAACCTGGAAACATATGAATACTTAGATGTTGAAAATTAATTGTTTTTATTCCGGTTTCTATTCTCTGCTATAACACCAAACATGTAATATGGTCCTTATATAGAAGGGATGCTAATTATACCCAACTATTTCAGTATGCCTTCTGAGAATCCAGCTGTAGTTACACATTCCTATGAATTATTGATAAAGCAGCAGGAAGTGTACAGTGCAATGGCTGGATCAGTATAATGATAGCTGGCATCATCTTCTTGCTGCACAGCTGAAGAATGCATTTCCCATCCCAACACCTCCAAGTATCATTTCCAACACAGATCACTTCCTACATTAAGATGGTTTATATTGCCATCACATGGTCTTTCTGTGGTATCATTTTGAAAAACAAAAACTACTAATAAAAAAAGAATAAATGAAAAATAAATCTGTGAATGCACAAGCTGCAACTATTTATAGAGTCTGTCTCAATTACACCTGCCAGGTGGTTTTCATTTAATGTTGTGTGAACTGGAGGTTATCGCCTCGATCTGTCCCTTGGCTGTACTTCTTTATAGCATTAAGTTCCTAGAAAGCTCACAAAATGTGTTTGTGCACAGCTCTCTTGTGTGCTTGTGCTGTACGAGCTAGTTAATAAAATGCTTAACAGCAACTCCTTGTAATTTGCAGGAAGTAGGGACAGTTTTGTTTTTGCACACGTCTGTTGGCTCTGGTTTGTGTAGCTGTGCTTCCTCCGTCACTGAGTTGAAGATTAAAACGTGTGATTTGTATGAGTTATCTAACTTCTCGCCATCTTCCGAGAGACCGTCCCTCAAAGTGTGCTGCTCTGCTGCCCTACAGCTCTATGATTTGCTTTGACTCCTCGTCTAATCTCAGAGCCGTCCAATGTTCAGGGTGAGGCAGCAATATATTCGGGGTCACGTGAAGTGCGCCGTGAGCGAGAGCAAGCACGTCGCTTTTTACAGAGGTGCATCTTCAGTTTATTGGTCAGGGAACCAATCACCTATTGTTTGAAACAATTCCCATGGAGTTCTTGTCAATAGTGACATAACCATCCTCTAGTATCTGGGAAGGAACCAGATTTGCAGCGCTTATGTAAACAGCTGATCTCTATTGGAGGAAAGAAAAAGCAGAGGAGCTAGATGGCTAGTTTCACTCAAACATAAACGATAACTTTCATTGGCCGCCCTTTACAGTGTCACATTTCTGTTCCAGGATAAAGTTAAAAAACTGATGATAAACTCATAGTTACTCACCATGCAACCAGTAGTTTTCTACTACTTTGCAATGTTTGTGACTAATAAGAACTGCAAAGGATCTCCAGTAAAAGCCGACAGGATGCACCCTGTTGACTGTCCATCATTAGCTTGCATTATTCAGCAGACCTCATGTTGTTTCACAAGCAGTAGTGGTGATTTGCTGAAAACATCCTGGACATTAACAGTTCAAACAATTCACCCCCTTAAATACCTATAGGAGACTCTTTGGCAGTTTGCAATTTAATCTGAGTTTTAGCACCTCTGAAAATTTCAGCTATCATAAATGTACAATAAAAACGAAAAATGGTTCTTTCTGGTGGAGAATAAATTACTCCTCCCAAAATGACTGAAATTACAATTAGACGCTGTTGTATGTCCGACTGGACATAACGCTGAATACTCATAATTACTCAGCATTTTAACTTTAAAATCTCAGACATTTAGTTTGTTGAGGCATCATGGTAAGTTTGAAGGAGGTGCAGTCGACTTTCAGAAAGAAAATAGTCCACAAGACAGAAATTCAAAACACATTTTTTCATGGGACTGTACCTTGTGTATTTCTATAAGTAGACAACTTATGTGTATTTTGTCATTATTATTGCGACATTAATTATTAATTATTATCTTCTCTTTGTAGCTATGGAGAAACAGCTGGAAGAGCTGAAGCAGCAGCTGGAAAAACAATGTCGGATCAACAAGGAACTGCAGAGGCAAAATAAGGACCTGGGTGAGTAAAGCAAGCATTATATCACCTCTAGGTTAATCTGCATTCTGTAAGAACCTGACTAAATCAAATTGGTATGTAAAGTGGTAAAGTCAATGAGTTGATGCAGTGACCTGCCCACTGTCTCCACATGCTTGGACAATATGAAAAGTTGCTGCTGTGACGTTAATAACTTCATACCTTTTTGCTAACGTAATTAATAGAATTTGACATTATAGTATAATATTACAATGGCTTATTATGAATGTATGCTTTGTTCTGTATATCTTCACTATGCTGAGTGAATAATATGACTACTACTAGCAGTACATGCAAACAGTATTCTTTTGTTATAACATGCTTCAGAGCAGGTGGTTGAATATCATAATGTATAATAATATATGTCTATTATAGTAATGTTTACTGAGAAACTGTGTAAAGTTTTTGTGTAGGGTTGGATTAAAAATTCATATATTCTTTGATTAATTATTGTACCTACATATTTTTAATGTGTTGTTGTAATTTGAATTCACAGATCTATGAACTTACTGATCCATTTCGGCATTAATGGAAAGCAGCAGTCTGCAATGTATTTACATATACATAAAAGAAATGTATATTTTTAGAGCTGCTTATACATTTAACACTGGTATAGGATCAAATGGAAAAAAGTGAAGCTGAGATATCATTTACACATTTGTAGTTGTGTAGAAGTTTGCATTGGCACTGCAGCACAGCCACCTCCAACAGGAAGTTAGAAAAGTTTCTCCAATGGGATTTTAAGGGATGACTCCTGCTATTTCTGTTGCTTGAAATATATGTTGTTTTGTCTGACTGCTTTCTTCTATTAGTGTGCTTTCTCTAGTAAAATAATATTTTTGGTAAAAAGCATGTTTTCAACTACTTTGTACAGTAAACAAGCATCCTTACTCCCATTTCACAGAGAAACGACTGAAAGACAAAGAAAAGCTTTTGCAGGAGCTGCAGACCCAGTACCATGATCTTGGTATGAGGCCCATATGGGAATCACCAACACACCCGATGCACCTCCTCAGTTGGTTAAAGTGATTTTTGATGACGATCTCTGATCTTTTGTTTGTTTTTGTCTGTCTGCCCCTTTGTAGAGTTTCCCTCCCAGCCTGCTAATGAAGCAGAGCCTGAATTCAGGAAGAGTCGAGCTGCTGTTATGGCCCCTGAACCAATTCCAGAGAAACTGGAAATTTCAGGCAACATGGTTAAGAAGACTGCCAGGTCAGGAATAACACAACTCGCTGCTTTTGACAATCCTGCAGGACTCCTGGGGTCAAACTGGATCATTTTTTATTTTTATTTTTATCCTTTCTTCATTTTTTAAATAATGAATACTTCTGCATAAAGTAATGCTAAGGGAAAGTAAATGATTTGTTAAAAATTCCCATCCTCTTTTGCATTTATCAGGCCCAGAGTACATATACTGTGTCAGGATGTTTGGTCACTGGATCTCAGTGAGATCTGTGATCTTACATTTAAGGTGACTTTTTTTTGTTCCTGCAGTGAGACAAGTCTTATTGTTAAAGCCATCCAGAAAAACGACTTCCTGAGCCGCCTGGACGATGAGCAAATAAGCATGATGGTGGATCTGTTAATGTCATCACACTACAAACCTAGCGAAGAAGTCATTATGGAGGGATCAGAAGGAGACAGCATGTACATAGTGGCAGGTGGGGACATGTCTGGATGTGAGCCTCTCTGTATGTCATAATAACATTAAACATGAAATTAAAAACTGAACATCGACCTATTCAGAAAGCAATGTTAGAGGTATTTGCTCTTTTCAGCTGGTGAACTCATCGTGACTCAGTCAGGTCGGGACCTGAGGACTCTGACAAAAGGAGATGTTTTCGGAGAGTTAGCCATCCTCTACAACTGCAAAAGGACAGCGACAGTCAAAGGTTACATTCTTCAAAATACTGATGCATTCAATATACTGTTGCCTGTGATGATTTGTCTCTAATGTAACATAATAACTGTTAATTTTGTGATTTTATGCAGCATTGTAGCGGTTTAGATTTGCCAAACATCAATCAGTTTGGCATCTTTCTTGTACATTTTAACGTGATGGACAAATGGCTTCAATAACTCCACCATACTACCATAATAAATATAGTCAGTATTGGAAGATGTGTTTGGATTGTAGAATTTTTCATATATTTTGGTCAAAATCAAATGACATTGAATGAAATATGTAGAAGAAGGAAATGTTTACATGCCTTTGGTTTTGGCACCTCAATGTTTAATTTATATGAAAGTTATTAAGCAAACAGTCTCACAATCTCAAAATGTATATTTTTTTACATAGTCATGAAGTCCTGAAATTTCCGATGAAATATCTTTGGAGATTCTTTCAGCGTTTTTACTTTATTGAGAGTAAAACGTGTGTAGTTAACATTTCCTTTAAAGAATAACAGGAAGCCTTTGCTAGCTTATTCTTAATAGACTCAAGCCCTTAATATAGTACTTATCAAACTAAAATCAATTCATTAATGATTAATTAATAAAAAAAACTAACCAAAAATAAAGCGATTTAATGGCCTAATTTTGTTCTTGATCTCTAATTGTAATCTGAGAGGAGAAATTAATCTCCAAGCCTCAGAACCAGAATGACATGTAATTGCTTGATTCGGTTTGATGAACAAAATTATTTCTTTGTAGCAAACAGCTTAACAGCTATTCGCTGAAAGGTGTTGCTTTGTTTTTTCTTAAATTTAGATTAAATGTCACATAGCAACAAACCTTACAAAGGAATTGCCTTAACCGTGCAGCTTCTAGTGACCAATCAGGAGAGAAGAGTTAAAAAAAAAATGTATTGGGAAAAACACGTAAAAAGACTGTATTTCCATTATTCATTGTAAGAAGTTTTGATGTGTTTTGTGTTCACATCATTAATCAGCTAAGACACATGTGCATCTGTGGTGCATGGAGCGACAGACGTACAGAACGATTATAACTAACAAGTCCAAGAAAAAACGAGAGCAGCTCATGGGTTTCCTCAAGACGTGAGTTTCATCACACATCAGCAAGTCATTTTTTGACTTTACCAACAGAATTATGTCTGATGCTACTATTTTAATAACATGCTACAGGTCTCGTACTCTCAAGGATCTGAATGACGCACAGTTGTCCAAAATTATCGACTCCATGGAGGAGGTGCGTAACTTTATGATTAACCTCTTCTGACAAACATGCATTTCATTCAAGAACATTTATTAAACTCACGGTGATCTGATGTTTGATATTTACTTGATGTTATTAGTCAAAACATCTGATCATGCAATAATTGTTACAGAAATCTTTTTTTTTTTCTTTTTTACAGGTTAAGTTTCAGGACAAAGAGGTTATAGTTCGAGAAGGAACAGAAGGAAACACTTTCTACATCATCCTGAAAGGAGAGGTAATTTAATGTTACAATATGTGTGTAAACTGACACATAAATGTTTCTCCATTGATCTTAGTTGTGTTGTCCTCACAGGTCCTGGTGAGCAAGAATGTGAATGGACACCAGAAGCAGATTCGCAGGATGGGAAAAGGGGAGCACTTCGGGGAACAGGCCCTCATACGGTAAGCATACAAATGCAGCAACTGCCAGAGGAAATGTACTTCACCTTGCAAAGAGATGTGAAGGTTTGTACCTGCCTTGAATGCTTCCCTATTTACCATTTTTCTGCCCAAATTTGCAGATTTTTTTTTTTTTTTTACATTTTGGAGACTTTAAAGACAAAAAGAAAAACTTAGATGCACAGTTAGTTTTATTGTCCTGCATTATTATGTTGTGTGATGTAAATAATCCACCATTAAGAATAATTGTATTGTTTTAACCACATGGAAGGGATATTACTGCCATAACATATCTAAAATGAGCCATCAGATTATTTTTGCCCCCAAAAGTTTATTTTATTTTATTTATTTTTTGACAAAATAGATTTTTGGGTATTTGTCGTTTGACTTATTCAGAAATTATATTGATAATGGATAGGCTGTTAAATGCCTGTTTGTTTCTGTTTTCACAGAGAGATCTTGAGAACTGCCACCTGCACCGCTGATGGCCCTGTTACATGCTTCTCTATTGACAAAGAGTGAGTCAGTCACACTTCAGATGGGCATTTCCTCTTTATTCCTGTTACTTTGACATCATTTATTTTTAGAGAGAGATTTGCCACTTGTTGACATGACTATGCTTTTTTTAAGGGTTTTCGAAGAGACAATCCCAGTAGAGCACCTGGAGCTGTTTGACGAGTATGTGTGACTGTTTTCCACTGAGTTCCCAAAAGTGTACTGTGAAAATATTTTCCCCGCTTCTTTATTGCTTGTTTTCCATCTAGTTTTATTTATCTGTTTCTTTTTTGCTTTTAGCTCCAAAGTGATGCAAGAGGCGCAAGGACCAGAAAAGCCAGGGTGAGTTAAAGTGAAAGAAAACCAAGGCCTCAAGGATTTTGGTGCCTGCAGGCTGGAGGAACATGTAGAAGCCCATATGTATCATCTAGTAAATAAATGAGACTTCAATGATGTCAAAACCAAAGTTCAGAAACTCAGAACAATCTATTTTTCTGCATTAATTCAGAACTGTTTGCCAACTTTTTCTGTAAATTCAGTCAAGATAATTTCACACATAGCTGATCACTGTTAGAATAACACATTATGGTCACTTTTTTTGTTTGTAGATTTTTTTTCTGTAAATATTTAGTTGAGACAAAATCCACACTCCAAAACAAGAGTGATGACATCACACAAGGCATAATGTAACTCATGAGTTATTTTTTGATCAAAAGGAATGTTTTTTGTTTTGCCTATTTTTTTCATACATTTAAAATTTTGTTCGTTCTTTAAAAATACATTCTGTCCATATTCTATTGTATTCTTTCTAATGCAACACAATTGTTTTTGTCACTCTCATATAGATTTAATTTTTAAAACTTTATGTGAGTGGTCAAATGTGACTCTTTGTCAGCCATCATGTTGTTCTACAAGTCTGCGTTTCGTATTTGTGGTAACCGACTGTTGTACTCGATAATATGGTGATGTTAACCTTAATAACTTTCACCATTACTTTGAGTTTAAGTCAAGCAATCACCGCTGCATCTGTATATCTCACACTAATTTTAGAAAGCTGTTAGTTGCTGGTCCACTAATGAATCCAGCATGAATCAGAACACTGCAGTTTCTTTCTTCAGGGTATCCATTCTATATAAGCACTCACACCTGCAAGTAATTAGTTTTGTCATATTAGTTATGTTAAGTAACAACGATTGGAAGAGGAAAGCAGTGTTGTGCTACTTTCGTCCAGATTAGCTCTAAGCTTTGGGTTTTGCTGTCCAGCCTCTGTTAGTGCAACACTTTCCATACATTCTCAATCAGCTATTTTAGTGGGGCCACCTCCTCAGCAGGTGTAACACATGGAGCAGAAACTAGTTTTCCAAAGGAAGGCATGTGGGTTGTTCTTGAAATGTTTGATTGGGTTTAATTATTTGATTGCATCTTAGTAATTCCTGATTATATCTGTAAAAGAAGTACACTTTGACTTTGCTTCACTCTCCAAAATGTGTACTGGAAGCAAACATAAGTGCTACAAATTACTTACAAAAAGTGGAAAATATGTTTCTTTCTTTTTTAGTCTGACCTCCAGTCTGAAGTTTAAGGATCTGGTTCCTGTTTTATATCAGGAGGGACGCTATCAAGGAGATCCTGTCACGCTTGGCGTTGGAGGATTTGGTCGTGTGCAGCTGGTAGGCGTTGCCAATTCGTCTTATGGATGTGTGCATGAACCAACTTTTACAGAAGTGGCATTATGATGGAAATGAGTTCTGGTAGCTTCAAGTTTGCTAAAAATGATGTCTTTTTGTTGAGCTCAGATGACCACACTGAATCATGGGAAATACTACGCTATGAAGCGAGTCAGCAAGAAGCAAGTTGTTTCCAAGAGACAGGAGGAACACATGTTGTTTGAGAAGAAGATCCTGAAAGCCATCCAGTGTGACTTCATTGTGAAGTAACTGCCATCCAAAATACTGTCTGCAAATGTATTTATTTTTTGACATTGTACAACCACAAAATTGAACACAAATAATTTCTCTCTCTGCTGTTTGTAGACTTTATGCCACATTCAAAGATACAAGGTACATCTACATGGTGATGGAGTTCTGTGGTGGTGGCGAGATCTGGACCAAGCTCAAAGAAGTGTAAGCAAAATTAAAACTTGGTGAATTAAAAAAGCATCATAGTGAATGAATGAATAACATCTGATGAATCTGATAGGATAGAACTGGAAGAAATATATTTATGTTTTCGGATCTCTGACAATTTAATTATGTTTAATTAGGATTAATTGTATGTTTATGACATCAATTAAAACAAAGTCATGCAAAGAAAAAAAAAACATTCAAAAAGTATAAAACCCATTTTATTTACTTGTTTGTACCCAATGTTTTTTTTGTTTTTTTTAAAGAGTAATAACTTAGGTTAAGACATGTGAATGAAAGAATATGAAGGCTTCCACCCAAGTTACTGAAGTGCATTTCTTTTTCAAATCATTTTCATCTCTGTAATGACAGAGGGCGATTTGATGAACATGTTGCTGTGTTTTGTACTGCCTGTGTGGTGGAGGCCTACGCTTACCTCCACAAGAAGAGCATCATGTACAGAGACCTTAAGCCTGAGAACCTGATGCTGGACATGAAAGGCTATATCAAACTGGTGTGTCTTTGGACTATCTAAATTGATTCCACGGTTTGCTTTAGAAGATATTCTGCTGACTCTGGATTTTGTTTCACAGGTTGACTTTGGTTTTGCAAAGGAACTGGTGCGTGGTGAGAAGACCTACTCCTTTGTGGGCACGCCTGAGTACATGGCTCCAGAGATCATCAAGAACCAGGGTCATGACTTTGCAGTTGACTTTTGGTCACTCGGCATTCTGATCTTTGAACTTTTGGTGGGAAGGTAACTACATTTGACGGGATCCATGCCTCAGAGCAAATTATGTCCCACTGCTTCTCTCAGATTGAAAAAGTATTCACACTGCTTCAACTTTTTTCACATTGTTTTACATTGCAGCCACTGTGTTTTTTGATGAAAAAACTTGGCAAGAAACAAATTAGAGCACAATTGCACATTTGAATAAAAACGACATAAGGTTTTCAGGTTTTCATGTGCATTTAATCTAACTATTCCATCTTTCTTCTGACTGTTTATTTAGATTGGTTTTCATTGTCAATCTATAGCAAGTTTTCTTTTTGTAATGCTGTTCCCCTTTAACTCTGACAAAAAAAACAAAAAACAAAAAACATTCCCTTAGCAAGATACTGCCTCTACCATGTTTCACTATAGGAAGAAGCTCATTACATGATTAGACCAGTATTCTGCAAACTTTATAATCCAAATAACCATTGTGATTTTTGATAACTATAGGATATGTTTGGTCATTTTTAAAGAACCCCCATTTTATTTCTGATTTTGAGTTTTAAATTAAAAAAGTAAAACTTTTGCAAAAAGAGGATGGATATATTTCTTTAACAGGATGTTGATTTTTGTGGAAAATTATGTCAAAAAATAAGAAAAGAAACAATGAAATCCAATAACATGGTTTCTAAAAAATGTACCAGTAATTTAAAAAAAAAAACATGCCAGATAAGTACTTCTAGTGTCATTGTAGAACATCATTGCAACTATTCCATTAGAAAAAAAAAACTGAAAGAAATAGCTAAAACCATCATGTGTTATCTATATTTAAAAATATTAGGTAGTTTCTCATTTTTACCAAGTTATTAAGAGCATTGCAAATGGCTGCTGTAAACCATGAAGGTCAGTTTTTGTCACATGTGACTTCTACATGTTTGATCCTCCTGAATGATAATTATTTATAGCGATGGATAGTTTATGGATAGGCATGGATACTTTTGAAAGCTGATTTTCTTAAAAAATGCCCAGTTTGTTTTCATCCCAAAATCATTTTCTAACACTTTCATATACAGAAATGTTTACCAGCAGATGGCAGCAGAAACAAAGGATTGATGTCATCTTGTGCATTGATTTGAGTGTTAGAAGCAAAGGTTTACCAACAACTCTTTGTTCTGCTTTTAAATCTCCAGTCCTCCATTTTCAAGCTCGGAGCCTCAGAAGATTTATTCCAAAATTTTGGATGGAGAACTCAAGTTTCCACCTTACCTGAGTGAGGCAGCAAAGTCAATCATCAGCAAACTGTGCAGGTAAGCAGAAGAAACAACTACATAATGGCATAGCAAGGTGGTTCTTAAAATCAAGGAATTTTAAACTTAATATTTCACAATAACAGAGCCGAACTGAGCGAAATGAAGATGCATTTTGCATCTTGGTTAAGATGCATTTGGTTGTGAAGATGCATTTGGTTGCGTTTCGTTTGGTGCTGCATGAGCTCACGAGGTTTTTGACTGACTGTCTCTCTGAACGCTCTTTGTAGACCTCGGCCAGGTCAGAGGTTAGGAAACACCAAGAATGGAATCAAAGATGTCCGGCATCACAGGTAACCATGGCAACACGTCGTCCTCACGAGGCAGAGTCTAACAATCCTTCATTCGTTCATGTGTCATCCCCTACAGCCTGCTCTGTGCATTAGACACTGAGCAGAGCTTTATGCTGGAAAACAAAATGTGCTTGTACATGCCAGGTCTGGGTTCACAGCACTATTCATAGAGCAGTGGCTGCATTCACACTTAGTCAACCCATATAATATGTTAAAACACTGGCATGTAATACAAAATTGCATTAGGATATATTAATTTACATAACTGCATAATCTACGAGCAAACACAGACAAACATGCTTCTTTCTTTCTGCTAGTGAGAGTCAGGGTATTATCAATTTATATTAATTTTCACGATAAATCAACAGCCCGATCAAATATTTCTCTAATTTGTCTTTTTTTTAAGGTGGTACAGCAGCATGAACTGGCACAAGCTGCGTATGGGTCAGCTCGACGCTCCAACCATACGACTCATCCGCAAGGCAAGTGGAAACATCATAAAAGGCTTTTTTATGTTTATGGGAAACAGAAGGTGCTTCATAGACAATTGAAATATGTAGGGTAGTAGTAGATTTACCTCAGTTTACAAGAAATTATTCGCTGTCCTTTTAAATTATATTGTGGTAGTGTTGGAGCCTCACTGTGTTTCCAGCAGTTTTGGACATAGCAACTTTAATGTTGGACTAAAACCTTTTATTACATCTAACATATAATGAGAAGGGTGAAAAGATATTAAAGAAATGTAATCCACCAATTGTTACTATGAAGGTTTCAGCTTGCAAAAGTTGGACCTCTAGCAATATTGAGAAAATAAAAAAAAAAGACTTAAAAAAAAAAGTATTTCAGGCAAAATGTAGTGTGAATGGAGAGTAGCCTGAGGCTGCTGACACTGTTTCTTATCTTCCCACATTTGCTGATGCATCTGAAAATGTTTTTACATTACTCTGAAGATCTGAGGCTTATGCTGTCAAATATCAAATCCTGTGAAGCTTGGCTGTTGCTCATGATGCACCACGGCTTTGTAAATTGCATGTCTGTTGCGATAAAAGGTGTAAAATGGCTCTGTATGCTTTTGCATCAGGACAGAGTAACAGTGGATTCTCTTTGTACTCAGACATTCCAGTTCGAGTTTCTCAGCTGGAAATTAAACATAAATTTCCACTGAAGTTGTTATTCTTAATGGGAAGGGTGAGATACTGCAGAGTACCCTCAAATTCAGTGAGCTGTCGCTCACAGTGAAAGTTGCAGAGATAAACAATGCATCATTTATTGGAACATCCAGTTGCTTGTTTTAAAATTAAACCAGAAGTACACACAATACTGTGAATTTTTGAAAAAGTTCCTTTAATATTTCAGCACATAAAACAGAGATATATACTTTGATATCTGCTTCTATTCAGTAGTTTGGACCAAAATTGAATCAAAACCAAATCCAACTCGTTTTCTGGCTCAACTCTCATTCCCTGATCAAAGTCCTGGTTACCAAAAAACATCGAACAAGGCAGGGATGTAACACTGTTGTTTTCTCTTTCTCCACAATGTTCACCTGCCCATCTCAGTGCTCAAATAATTGTTAGCTGATTTGATCAGAAAAGAGGCCCGGCTCTCATGTTGGAGAGCCCACTTCAAGCATTCTGCATGAAAGGGTGACTTCATCACTACAGAGTTTCTGCATAGCTTTGCATGAGATTAAGCAATGTTCAGCATTCAAGGATAAGCTAGTTGCAGATTTATCTGTGGAAAGTGACATTGAGATGCTCACAGAAATTCTGCCTATTAGCTGATTTCTTCCATAGAGCACATTTAAAATGGCCAATAGAAAACTCAGCTTGGGAAGCTGAAATGTTGAGGCACAATGCTACTTGACACAATATCTGCAGCCAATCCAGGAGCGCTGACCGGATTGGATGTTGACTTCTGCAACATCCAGAAGTTGCAGAAGTCCTACATTCATTAGTATGGACAGTTTCCACTGTCTATACTGATGCATCTAATTGCATCTAATAAATCTAACTCGTAAAATATGAAGTTATGAGTGTTTTTTAAGGAAGTTTCATGTATTTAAACTATTTGGCGGTTGTGATATGATCTGAAACCTGAGCCACCTTGAAGCTGGATTTTCAGATTTCTTTATTACAAAATGAGTCATTGTGAGCCTTTAATTTATTTTCAATACATTCTGGATTTGACAAATGTTTCGCCATTCATAGGGATTGTGCAGGTTTAAACAAAATATATATATTTTTAAATTGGCCAAGACTCATATGATTGTTAATTAAAAAAATAAAAAATAAATATTTCTCTTTTTTAGGGTCCATGCTACATCAACTTTGATAAATTTCCTCAGGACCACTCGGTGGCAGAAGAGGAGTTTTCTGGGTGGGACCGTGACTTCTAATTCTCACGTTTAGGTTGAAGAATCGAATGGTGGGCGTTTGGTCCTTTTCATCCCAAAAAGGACCCTAATTAAAGGACACTGACCTTAGTTTATTCAGCCTCTAAAGGGGCCAAAAGAAGATTAATGCTACTGGGTACTGACATATAACACAACACATTTCTTACCAAATTTTCACACCAATTACACTGAAGCTCCAGGGAATCACTGTGACAATATGTGTGGAAGCTCCTCTGTTGCGGTGAGCTTCAGCTCACTCACAAATGTACCACTGCAGACGAGGAGGAGGTGTAGAGGCAAAGTGGTAGGACTCTGTGTTTTCATATTCAGCGCAAAGATATTTGGAGCTGATGAGTAAGTGTTAAATTCATGAGACACCTTGCAGCGATTAAGAAAACTGACCAGGTGATCAAATGCTTTTGATGTCAGGAAGAATTTCAATTAAAAGACTTTTCCCACGTTTAATTGTGCAGGACAATAAAATGAATAAACATGTCATATGTTGTGTTCAAAAACAATAACAGAGCAATCATTTTTTTGTGTATAAATTATATTTCTATGTGGGAAGTAATTTATTAGTTGGTGCAAAAGCCCTGTAACAGAACTAGTAGATCCAATAGTTTTAACTCACATCCTATATTGAAGAATAAATGCAACCAGTTTTGTACAGTAAATGTTAGTCATTATGTATTCTGAGTGAAACCTGTTGTTAAAATTGTTCTGATGAGGAAGAAAAGAGAAAACTATAATTCAATTAAAGAATAACCAGAAGAATCTTCTTCAGGGAGACCACAAAAAGTCATATCTTTAGAAGTGAATACAGTAATGATTAGAAAACAACTTAATAGATACACAGTGCAAAAGGGACATAATTAACTAACTTTATTAGAAATATCACATCATTTAAAAAAAAATCCCATTAGGATTTCCTTGTAATATATCACAATACTTGAAGAGGTAATTTATCCAGAAGAGGAAGTACCATCACACCAGTGAGTGAGCAGCATCTTGGATCCAGACCGACAAGATTAACATAATGAAGCTGCCAGCCCAATCCCGGTACCTTAATCCTAGAGCAAGCTAGTGGGGTGAAACAAGCTATTTCAGAGGCAAAATCAATGATGAGGAAATGAATTAAAAAGCCTGTTCACAGGTTGAGGAAGCTGGTGGACTCCATGCAATGCAGAAATTAAACAATTCAAGGGATGACTGCTTATCCATCAAAACATTAGTTCCATAATTCACAGCTACGTTAAATTTTTGGTATGATGAGTTTAGTTTTCCCCCTACTTCACCAACTTTACCTGATGAATTCAGGTAAACTTTTAATGGGCTGATTTGGAATGAAACATCTTCCCAATGTATTTGTGTATATGGAAAAAGAAGATATTGTATTTTGAGCTTTTTTTCTATTTTAAATACTAAACTGCTATCTTGAGCATAAACATTCCTTTGTGTGTTTTGTTCTCTTGACCTATGTGGTTAAAACTCAGTTCTTGTTATAGGTTTTGACATTGATAATACTTAACTGTTTGTAAAAATAAAAATCACCTATTGCTGACTTATTCATCCATGTTTTTATTAAAGCGTTTAAACATATCTTGATGATAAACTAAATGAGTTTTGTTCTTGAATCCCGTATGTTTGCATTTTGACACTGACACACACTTCGACCCTGAAGTGTGAAACTCTTCTCATGTTTTCCCTTTTTACGTTGTGACCAAATCTCCTTCCCGACCCAGAGAGGGCAGGTAAAGTATTTACAGATGAGATGTGTGATTAGTTATGAGCAACGCTTTAGGGAAACATTGTTGTTGCTGTTTGCAGGAAGGAAAATGGCCTGACGTTATCAGGGAGGGAAAATAGCCTGCGAGGGGGGGCTTACCTCATATGTTTCACAATAGCTGCAGCTGATTGTTTGGCTCTGAAGGTGAGCAGCTGTCCAGCGTGGCAGCAGGTTTTAAATTTGTAGGGAAGAGTTGTCCTGTTCCTTCCCTTTAATGCATGTTGTGAGCCTGCTGAGAGTACTTTTCCATATTAGAGAGAAGAAACTTCACATGAAAGTAAACATAGCTTCTAGTGGGAAAAGACACATCAGCAGATGTTTCCTTCCAGCAAAAAAAAAAAACCACACACATAACACATTGAGAGCTGGAAGTTAGTACATAGAGAGCAATGATAGAAAGGACCCAAAGGAAGCATATTTTGGTGCAGATGTCTTTGCTGTGTTTAACTGTGTTTTTTTTTTTTTCTTATTTTGCATGTAGGGTCAAGACTTTTGAGATGTATCAGTTTGATTCTTACTTTTATGTTTATGAAAAACATCCAAAAACAACACTGTAACTCATTAATCAGTGTTATGCAAAATTACCCACTGACTTCAGCCATCTGTTCCTGCTAATCGGAACCAATCTGCTGTATGTTTACTGAAGTTAAACAGCCTCCGCCTCACTGGTTTAGAGCTAGAGCTGTGTGAAAAAGTCATTAAATAAATTCTACTTCTATTAAATTAGCATAATCTCTCACCCCCCAAAATAATACAGCTTTGATTTTAGAAATTTGGAGAAACAAAGTATGATGTTATGAATTTCCCTTTTTATGAAATGTTCTCATTGCCTCTGTCCCCACAAGAACTCAGCATGGACATAGTGTGTAATGACAGTTATGAAGTGTCTGAAAGTGTCTTGTGACTCAAAGACACTTTTAGACATTTTTAGCATTTTTCTTCCTTATTTGAAGAGTGCCTAGAAGAAATGACCTTGTTATCTGTATTTATTCCCCAAGGAAACGGGAACTCATAGATTACTTGTTTGTCATCACTTTTATTTATTTCCCTTATTTTAGAAAAAGGTATTTCATTGTAGTCATATCAGTATTTAGGAATACTATTAACTGTATTTGAATGGCATGTTCTCTTGTTTTTACCCCATTGAAGAAAAACGGCTTCTGTATTACAGAAGCCTGTCAACCATAAGTTAAATTACCTTAAACATGAAGTTATTTTTGCTTAATGTCAGTAATTTTGCCATTAAAAGTGGGGGAAAGTCACCAAAGTGGATAAGACTGTATGATAAATATCTGCATCAGTTGTGTGCTTTTTGACTGAATACTGCAATTAAGTGTAAATATTTAATTTGCAAAATTAGTTGCATATATTTTCATATAAAATATAGCTTAGGTATAATATGTTGACGTCCAACATTTTGAAACTCCATTACCAAATGTTTCATAAATGGCAAACGGAGCTTGTGATGGGAAGGCAGAGATATTTCAACGATGTCGAACTCGAAGTGGCGTCAATGTGATGAGGTGACGCCGTAGACGACTCTGTTACCATGACTACAGATGCTCTTCTCTTTGATTCTGGCCAAGTTGATATAAATAAACCGCAGCACGTGCATGGGAATCCACAGTGATGCCAGATTTCATATTTAGAAACGTGTTTCTCCAATGACGGGCTTAACCAATGTCACGCACGCATGGTGGTGAAGGTCTTTAAAGTGACAAAGCATCATTTATAAGAAACAGTTCTGCTCCCTGGTCTCCAGGATTAATTAGAAATGTTCAGGGAGCTATTTTCAGCACGGTTATTTGTCACTTTGTGACCCCTGGGAAAGGTTTGGTTGCTATATTGCTGCCTTGAGCAAACTAGTGAAAACAGTCCCATTCATTCACAAAAGGTAACCTGCAAGGTTGAACCATGACCATGATATGTATTATTGTTAAAAAAAATTTGCAGGCAAAAACTGCTCAATCAAGGGTTTTATGTTGGTTTGACTCATTAAAGAATCAGGGGTTAATATGATAGATCTTCCATTCGGTCATGTCTTCTCAGCTGAGTGGTCATGAATAAATTGGACTCGGCGTTAACACTTAGCCTGATTAATTACTGTTTGCACTTTTGTTTAAGCCACTTAATCTCCCCGTGTTTGCGCTCTGCTTTGTTTGATCAGTTGTACCATATATCTGAGTGGGAATTTATGTGTGAGTGGGTCCAGAGAAATGCTTTAAGGCTCTGCCAGTCTTGCAGTATTTTTTTTTTCCATATATGGACCGTAGTTTCTTTGACACGAGACAAAGAAACTCATGTCAAAGAAACTGATGTGATGAGCTTCTCGTAAGTATTTTTATGTAACCACATCGACCTGCAAACCAAATAGGACTACATTAATGTGTCAAACACTTCCCTTCATTTTTCAGACCATTTTGCAAGTTTACTAGAGCAGGGGTGATCTGCTGCTGTCACTGATAGCTTTCCCATAGGAAACGAAATGAAATCTGACAAAATGACACATGACATAATTTTAATTGCGGGTACCTAAATACATGAAGGAGAAATGCAGATACTGTAGGATGTAAAAGAAACAAAGTTTACAAAAACATCTCCAACTTTCTGTTTTATATTGATTAAATAGAAGGTTGGGCAACTAAAAATTGCAGAAATTAATTGGTAAACACAACAACAGCGTGTGGAGTTACTGAGAAGAATGCTAGAAAGAAAAAAATTGGTTTAGATTAGAGGTATTTTACCACATAACCTATACATTAATAGGTAGACCTGTCTCATATTTCATAATTAAGTAAACAACCTTCTAATCTTTTTTATTGAGATTACTAATCTCCCAGGCACAGAGAACGTCTTTGTTGTAATGAATGTTTAATAAGAAACAAAATGAGAAGACTTGCAAAAAACTAATAGAGGAAACCGAGCAGCAACAGGGAAAAACTAAGATGGGCAAAAGTAGGCTCTATCAGAGAATGACTGAAGGAGAGAGGCTTAAAGACCGGGAGCCTTGGTTACTGGAAGAGAAACAGATGGCTGATTAGAACTGGTTGTAGGTGTGAAGGAAGAGCAGAGAGCAAACAGGCAGGCTGAGGGAAAGAGACTAGTAAGCATGGAGGAAGGTGAGGAGGAAGTATAAACCGTAACCAAAGGAAAAATGCTGGCAAAGTAAGAACACACAAAGAGATTCAATATGAATGAATGAAACACAAAGACAAAATCTCAGCTGAAATAAACAAACAAGAACATAATCAAAATACAGACAGATGAACACCAAATAACACTTTTCAGACTGAAACCTTTTTCTTTCCCATTGAATCATCAGTTGTTATTCAGAAAGTTCAGGAGTTATTCTTAGGAATCTTAAGAGGGAAAAATGAGGAAAGAAGGCTACAGTTCATCAAGGGGTGAATTTTATATTCACATTGAGATTGGCCTACCTGTTTTGCAGAATACTTCAGTCTCTCTATGCAGAGGTCACATATTGTCAGTGTGTTCTAGTCCCTCTGCCTCATCTTTGGGTGGTTGGAAATATTGTTGCATCGTTGTTTGAGTCAACCTTGGGGATCAGTTCACAGAGTTCAAACCACAGCTGGGATGGAGGATGTATTAGTGAAATATTCCACACTTCAGAATGGAAAAGACAGAAAGTATTTTCTCATGATGGCAGGAATAAAGCCAGGACTGAAAATGTTTTATCCAATATTTCCTGTGGTAGAAACTATTCAGGTAGTCCCTTAGACGGCATGTTCTTGTTGAACTTGAGAGCTCTGACTACACACTTTTGCATCTCTGACATTGTCAATTGAAAAGGCTTTTGTCTTCTGGAAGAATGGTACTACAATCTGTATTTATTCCCAGGAGAAAAGAATAATCTGACTCTTCAAGGTGTTAGTCTAGGTCTGTAGACATGAAACAAGACAACATATGTTTCTATAAATAATCTCACATCTTTGGTGACCCTCTATGCTTCACAAGGATTAACTGAAAGGAGGGAATATATATTTAATTATTATGGTGAAGGTACATAATCACTTTGGTTGCGAGTTTTTGGATTAGATTATAAACTGCTATGCTGTAACAATGAGAAGGAATAGCAAAAGCAGTTAAAATGCCTGTCATTCAATAACTTTCCCAACATTTTATGCTCATTTGATTTATATATATATAGTTTTTTTTAGAATATTTGATTTTCAAATTAGCATGAGGTGAGAGCAAAGTTCAAATTGTTTCCTGAAAATGACAAAGCTTGCTCGGAAGTAAACAGGAAATCTGTATTAAAAACACATTTCACTCCCTTCAAAGCGCTACCTCCATCTGTAGTTATGAATATTTGCAGGAAGATAATAAAACAAAAATAGAACACAAACGCTAAAATTTGATGTGTTACCACTTATGGGAGCTCTTTTAGTCCCTCAGAGTTCACTTCTTTCCATTGTTTCCGTGTGACCGGACACCATTTTGTCCTGATGCTTTTCACAGAGGTTGGACTGTTGAGTTGATTCCTGAGATTTCCTGTGAGATTTCCTTCAACGTTTTCCTCTGCTAATCAAAGGCTCCTCTCTTTGGCGTTTGAAAGAAAGTTGCTGAAAGATATAAAGACAATCATATAACTTCTTTCACCACTTTCACAGCTCGCTGTATGGTTAAAGACAAACCAAAATAAGCAAAAAATAAATAAAAAGAAAAAAAAAAATCTGCAAAATGATTCAAATTCTGTCATCCAGAATATTTTATTGAAAGCTGAATACACAATGCAAGCTCCACTGGTCCACCTAAGAAATTTATGAGCTGGAC